GACCCCATCCTTGGCAGAATCTCTGTTATTATGGAACCATACCTGGGAGAGAGGGGAGCTGTCACTTGGCTGCCAAGTCCACTGGAAAACCTCTTTTGCAACACAGAGTTGGGTGCAGAGATGGGTGTAGCCACTAGCTCAGTAGTTACAGACTCCTACTACTATTACTGGTTCTACAGATTGTGAATGAATTGTTTTCAATTCATTGCAAATCCTTTTAGCATTCTCCAGAGATTCAAATGACTCTTTCCTAATTTTGACCAAGTAGACAGATACTTCTCTGGGGAAAAGTTCTACTGAGCTCTGCATATTGCCATCCATCAGTTTACCACATTACAACTTTCCAGTGACTATTCAGAAACTGATCAAGTTTGTGCATTTAACTTGGTCTACGAAGCTGATTATAACAGAAAAATGATTCATATCTAATTTTTAAAATTTGAAATTAATATCTAATTTTTAAAAATTATATACTTTATTCTCCCTCATTACCTCAGGTACTAAAAAGTTGTGTACTGATAGATACAAGGGGAAAGTGCAACATATAAAAATTTCAGTATTAAATAACACATGAACACACATATTAACTGTGCTATTGTAACCAGGGCTGGAATAATCATAAATGCCCAGGATGTCAAACTATTAAATAGGTGCTTATTCATGCATACTTTCAGCACTTTTTCCAGAAAGGCTCAGGCAATCCCTGTTCACCCAGAGGGTAAAGTATAGAAAATGCACATTACCCCAGTGAGCTACTGCCTTCTGGACAGTTTTCAATTGCATTTCTTTAAGTTGTATTTTGATTGTATATACTTCAAAAGTTGGAAAAACTTTTATATATTTTTCCCTTTTTGGTGTCTCAATGAAATTTTACAGATTTCCTATCATTTTATATGCCAAACCTTTGAAAAATAGATATTAAAATAGAGATTTTACCAAAGACAGACTCAAAAGGCAAAGTACTTATGCAATTTCGAAGGTCATACAATTAATTAATGACAAACCTAGAACTGGAAACAGCAGAAGGACTCCTTGACATTGAGCCTTTAGCTCTGTATACCAAATCTAGTTAGATAAACTAATATTCTTCCTGGTAGGTTGAAAAAATTTGTTTTCCTATGACATACTCAAAAGCAGACTTTAATTTACATGTACTATTTTACTACTTGGGAAGATATCCTTTTCTGAGTATTATAAAAATAAGTCAGCCCTGGCTGGTGTGGCTGAGTGGGTTGAGCCTGTGAACCAAAGGGTCACCAGTTTGATTCCCAGTGTAAGGCTCATGCCTGGGTTGCAGACCAGGTCCCCAGCAGGGGACGCATGAGATGCAACCACACATTAATGTTTCTCTCCCTCTCTTCCTCCTTCCTTTCCCCTCTCTAAAAACAAATAAATAAAATTTTTAAAAAAGAAATAAAAAAAATAAGTCATTGATAATTCAGATTAACAATTTATTCTGTTAAGCACTGTTGCCAACTGTCTTAGATCAGGTTGCTATAACAAAAATGCCATAAACTAGGTGGTTTTAAAAAACAGAAATGTATTTCTCACAATTCTAGAGGCTGGAATTCCAAGATCAGGGTGTCAGCGTGTCAGGTTCTGTCGAAATCCCTCTTCTTAGCTTGTAGATGGCTGCCTTCTTGCTATATCCTCACATGGTAGAGAGATTGTATCTTTATTGTCTATTCTTATAAAGTCACTAATCCCATTCACAAGGGCTCCACTTTCATAATATAATTACCTCCCAAAGTCCTCACCTCCACATATCACCACACTGAAGGTTGGGGTTTCAACATATGAATTTGGAAGGACACATTTAGCCCACAGCATCCATATTTATTAGAAATAGATTTTTTTCACATGACCAATTTTAGAAAATATTTTTTCCTTCTAGTAAACCATTTTGTGATATAAAAGGTAAAGAGAGAATTTCTACTGTCAATAAAAGTTATGTGAGGACAAGACTTATCTACTTTCCTTTCCAGATCACCCCAAAAACAAAAAGGAAAAAGAAGTGATGTTAAAGAGGAAAATAAATGTTAGAAATCTAGGAACAACTTTAGCATTGAACATTTACTCAATATTTTAACTTCAACAATTTTACACAAATACTAGACTAGGTAAAGAGGGTATTATTTGGTACAACTCGGAAAATAAACAAATTTTCTATTTTTTTCCACCATCTTTTCCACCAAAGCAAAACAGTTATTCTTACATTAATCTTGTTTTACTTTGCCATGCCAGGTCTTCAAAAAAGAGTTTTCAAATAAGTAGGTTTGGCTTATATAGCCATGTATTTAACCTTAAATGAATTAAAACATTGATCGAGAAGAAAAATTGGGGGAAAAGGTGCCCAGAGAATAATTATTGAACAAATGACAAACTCAAGGGAAAGGTTTTTTCTTTTGGAACATAAACTTAAGTTTAAAAAAGTTTCCTTAATAATCTGATTATCATTGGTTAAATAGAATCCCTTCTCATTATTGTAAGTTCTGCATGATCTTAAAGATCAAAATATTAGGTTCTGAAAAACAACATGGAAAGTTATGTGAAGTACAAACTTAAAAACAAAATAGAACTCTCTTTATGAGGTTACTCATTGGGGAAGCTATCACATTTACTTTGAAGCAGCTAATGCTTTTTCCCAGATATACAGGCAACATTCCACACCATTAAGTACTCCTTTGAAACATTCTCTTCACTTGTGTTCCACCACACCAGTTCCTTACTTTCCTTCTAGCTCACTGCAGTCCTTCTCAGTATTTTGCTGGTTCTCCCCTTCTCTGCCTTATGTTTGCACACCTCCAGGGCTCAGTCCTTTTCCACCTTCTCTTTTCCAGCTGTACAAAGTGATCTCATCCAATGTCACAGCTATTCACTAATAACTCCCAAATTAATTTTGCCACTCGCAACTTACACCTAGAAATCTAGACTGGGATATTCAGCTGACTACTCAGTATCTCCAACCTGACATGGCGACGACAGAACTCCTGATTCCACACTCCTCCACATCTGTTCTTCTTCCAGTATGCCTCATCTCTGCATCCCAGAACTCACCCAGTTGTTCAATCCAAAACCTAGGAGCCGTCCTTTACCCATCTCTTTTCTTCTCCTGATACCAAAGTTACCAGCAGATTCTGCCTTCTCTACCTTTAAAGTAAAGCCGGAGCCCTGGCTGGTTTGGCTCAGTGGATTGAGCGCCAGCCTGTGAACGAAAGGGTCACTGGTTCGATTCCCAGTCAGGGCACATGCCTGGGTTGTGGGCCGGGTCCCCAGTAGGGGGCGTGTGAGAGGCGACCACACATTGAAGTTTCCCTCTCTTTCTCCCTCCCATCCTCTCTCTCTAAAAAAATAAAATACATTAAAAAAATAAAGAAGAGCTGGAATCCAATATCTAACCAGCTCCTCCTCCTCAACCACACTACTCTAAGACCCTTGCCTGGAAAAGTAAAATAACCTGACTACTCTCTCTGCTTTTATCCTAAATCCTCTTCAGTCTAACTTTCACACTGCAGTTCCATATAGTTAAGTCTAAATATTGTCACTCCTCTGTTCTCAACCCTTCTAATAGCTCCCCATTACCTATCCATTCTGGGCTAAAAGGACCTTCATGAAGCACTCTCTGGCTTTCCCGTTTCATTTTTTACCATTCTTCTCCTTTAATCACTATGTTTTAACCTTACCGGCCTCTCTACTATTCTTTAAACAGGCCAAGTAAGTTAGTATTTTTAAGCCTTTTCACTTGCCTTTACCTCTGCCCAGAATGCTATTTCCCCAAATATTCACATGGCTCATACACTTATTTCACAAGGGCCTCTGCATATGTCATATCCTCAAACAGGCCTTTTCTAACCAATTTATCTAAAATAGCCACTCTCTCAACATTCTGTCCCTATTCCTTGCTTTTTCTTCACAGCACCTTACTTTATATATTTACATTTTTATTGTATGTCTTCTCCAATGGGATATGGTAAATTCCACAAAAACTGGTACTTTGCATTGGTCACAGCTGCATAACCAGCAAACAGAAGAAAACCCGGGACACAGTAAGCACAACAAACATGTGTTGAATCCAAAAATGAATACATGGGATTCTATTCTGAACATTATCTAATAATATAGTTTAGGGTTTTGTTTTACCTTAAAAGAAAAAATAAATAAATACAAAAATGTGTCCTAAAGTCAAAAAGTCAGCTTGATTTCTCTCAAATGATACAAATTTTTTTAAAAGAGGGAGAGTCACTCAGTAGCACTGTAGCAAAATTTTATAGTAAATTTTCAGTGAGATACTCTAGCTATCATAACATTTTTTAAAAGCTTCAGAATTATCCCTGAAAATGAAGTTGCAGTTAGTGCCTAAATACTTAAAATGCAGTAAATACATATACACACACAAAATAGAGCAGTTCTATGAAATTAAACCAGTAATAGGAATGTTTTGTTATCCCATAATTCTCTTCCCTTCCTTCTCTCATCAAACTGCTACCAGTGAAGGCCAAGAAATCAACCAACTACTTGTTAACTTGGAGTTGGTGCTATTGTTCACAATCAGAAAAATGGCGATATTCATAGAGGTTTCATAGAGGCAGCAGAATATTTTACATAATTATGTCTGTGGCTTAACTGCTGCAGTATATTGCCTGCCGTCTTCCATCAGGGCAGATTATATATCACAAGAATGTGAAAAATCCCACCACATATGGATATATCTCTCTATATAATTTGGAGAAAAGCAGAGCCTGACAATTAAATCATTTTTCACCAGTGAATTAAAGAATCTAGATCTTGAAAAACAAAGCCGTATCAAAGCTCTTCTGGGCCATGATCGAAGGCCAGTCCAAGCACTCCCTGAGGATGGCAGTCTGTTGGGGAAAAGAATATGGAAACTCAAGGTGAGCCGCCTGGCCTCTTTGGCAACAAGAAAGGAATCTAGTCCAGTATACTTGGTTTACTTCTGTCAGCATTCGTTTCATGTTCATCATGGGGTTTTTGCTGTCTGATCAGGGGACAGAAGAACGACAAATACTACTTTGTATGAAATGTTTCAAGCCTTGTAAGCCCTCTGAAAATAAATAGTCCAAATACCCGTTCCATTTCTTTCCCTGTAGGCACAAAAAGCGGAAAATTACTTATTGAATATGTACTCTGCTTATTCTCTACCTTCTCTTTTTTGTCTAGGAAAAGGTCCCAATATCCAGGTGCACATACCAAGAATTAGCTCAGAGGAGATATATTCATAACTGAAACTCCATCACTAAGTAAGAGTCAAACCAGAAAGTACCCAAAGTTTAAGGGCTAAGCATTCCTTTTATTATGTTCACAAAAGATTTAGCCATTCTACTATGTAATTATTGGGAAATGAAAATGGGTCATCACTCCCACCCTCTAGGAATTTAGCATCTAAAATTGATGAGACAGGAGCAGTCATCATTTATATTACTGCCTATATTAAATACGTACACATCAGAATTTCTAAAATAATGAGTCAACTATGTCTGGGTTTGTTAAATCAGCCTTATCATAATCACACTTTGAATACATCGACTGTACTCTAAAATGAGACACATGGTCACAACAATAAGTCTAATTGTGAATAGTTATATTTTTAGAGAAGATTATAGGTAGGAGTGTCCCACTCGTGGCCTGCAGGCAGCATGTGGCCCAGGATGGCTATGAATGCAGCCCAACACAAAATCATAAATTTACTTAAAACCTTTTGTTTGCTCATCAGTTTTTGTTAGTGCTTGTGTACTTAATGTTTGGCACAAGACAACTCCTCTTCTTCCAGTGTGGCCCAGACATGCCAAAAGGTTGGACACCCCTGCAAGTGTATGTGCCAATAACTTCACATAAAGGTCATGGGAATGAATTCAGAAGGTAAACACTTCACTTTGAATTTGTGGAGGCAGCAGACTTAGGATCTGGGGAAAAGTTGAAGTATGAAATCTTTTGATGAAATGAAGCTGTATGAAGTCCCTAAACATGATAAAATAAGTTTATTTACCCGAATGGAGCTCACATTTACTGTCTTTTCTTCTGGCCATTCCTTAAAAAAACAAAAACAAACAAAACAAAGAAGTTGGGCCATATGAGGATGGAAAAACTTAATTAGCAAAATTACCAGAAAATTAAGATGGCTCTTCACTGATTTGTTTACTACATTCTATTCCTACCATCACTCTTGGATTCCTTTTGAATAAATACTTACTATAACCTTCCATATTTTTTTTCCTAGAAGCACAAAGAGAAGGAAAATAAAACCACAGTAGATAAAGTTGAGCACCATTTTGCTAACCTAGAGCCTCATTTAAAAAAAAAATTCTGTGTTCAGCCACTGCAGTGGAGACAGAAAGTATCAGAGAGAAGGCTTTTTCTGAGGAATGAGATAACTGAACTGAATCTTGAAGGATGAGGAGGAAGTATGGTGAGGCTGTCTATGTACACAGTAGATTCTAGAGAACTCTGTAATTCTTTATGAAAATTCAGATCATTGATTCCCTGGTCTTAACTATCACCTACTGTATTTCACTGAAAAGCCATCAATTCTAACAAACAATACATTTTATACACTACTAAGTGAAAACTTTGCTTATTAATCAACATATAACACAATGCCTTTTCAACACTTAGAATTTTTTATTTTGTAATGATTTAAAGAGTTTTAGATATAGGCAGATTTTGATCATATATCATTTTTATAAACCTGAAATGGTAAATGTATACACAATTAAGTGGTGAAAATGTTTCTAAAACTTCACATTCAGAGTGCAACTCTTCTGAATCACTTTTATATGTAAGAGTTGTGGATATCTATGTTTGTTCACCCAATAGCACCCTCTGTGCTAGAGGGCTCATGATGCAACATTTGTTAAACGGAACTTAAAACTACTGGTGCCGGGGTCCTAGTTACATAAAGCTAACATACTTTTGGAAAGTATGTTTCAAGAAAAGTCCAAAACATGTTTCACTGCTTCCCTCCCCTCTTCCTCCAAATCATTTGGTTTTTGAGACTGAAAATTGTGCTCCAATAGTCCCCAATTTTTTTCCCAAAGCTGCTGACAACCATTCTGCAAGGTCTGATTATGGCAATAATCACATTCTAAAACAGCAAATGACAACTATATCATGATTACTGTCTGGCTGACATCATCAAAAGCATCCTGATCTCTGAGAAGTAAAAGAAAAGGAAAAAAGTGTGTTTTTTCAACTGATGACACATAGTCCACACAGATGAATCCCATATTTACTTCCCTAGTTCCAACCTATCTCCTGAGCTCCAGGCTCCTATTTCAAATAGCCTGCTTAAATTTCTTCCTGGGTGTCTCACAGGCATCTCAAACATAAGGTCAGAACAGAACTTGGTTTTCAACTTGCCTTCTCCCAAAACCAAATAATCTCTTCTGTTCTTTCATCAGTATTCTTCTGATTTACAAATGGAGCCACCATCAACCCATATGCTCAATTAAAAAAAAAAACACTCAAAAGTCCTTTTCTTTTTCCCATTCCCACTTCTAATCAAGCTATCATCAAGCGCTGTCTGTTCTACCTCTACAGTATATCTCAAATCAGTCCACTTCTCTCCATCTCCACTACCACCACTTACATACAAATCATTATCAGTATCTCTTATCTAGACTTCACCAATACTCTCCCAGTTGTGACTCCGCAACTGGGACCTCCTTTCTTTTCTTTTATAACTCTATCCTCCACAAAATAGCCAAAGTGACCTCTATTAAAAATCAACTCGGACCATCCTACAACCCTTGCTGAAAATCTTTTGATTGTTTCCCATGGCACTCCTAATAGACCTGTGTCTCTCCAACCTTATTTCATTCCATTCTCATTCTTGTTCCTTAAGCTCTAAGCTAATCTGGCCTTCCTTTTCTCCTTCAACCCCTTGAGCTATTTTACTATTCCCATTGCCCGTAATCTTCTTTTTCCACCTATTCCTAGGCTGGTTTATTCTCATTTTTTAGAGGATATCTCAGATCAAATGTCATTACCTTCTTGAACACCCATCCACGACAACCCTTAAGTCACTCTCTTTCACTCCACCCTGTTGATGTCTTTCATAGCCTTTATCAAAATTTAAAGTGTCTACTTATTTCATTTCTTGCTTATTGTTTATCCCTATTAGCATATAAACTTCATTTGGGCAAATACTATATTCCTAGTGCCAGAAGCACAGTGGACACTAAATAAATATTTGTTGAATGAATAAACAAAGAAACAACTAGCTATTAATTCAAAGGTAATTTATGATAAGAAAACCTAGGGCTCCAGAATTTCCTGAAATGTAAGCTTTACAAATATTCAAAATATTTCAACTCAAAAAGTGAGCTGACCTCTGTGATACTGAGAACTGATTGGTCAAATTAAATTACTGAATTATGTCTCTAAATCTGGCTAATTTGAAATATTTACAATGTGACAATTCATTAAAACTGTAAGAATTAAATTGTACTAACATGGTATCAGAAATTATTTTTACCACCTCAAAAGTAGGATACTTAGATAGTGAACCGTTTGTTGGTGATAATCAGGGCTCAAAAGGCACTATTTTAAGAAAGGCTGGCATTAAAGCCTAGTATTTTCAGAACCATACTGATATATCGTTTACAAAAATGGCAGTTTCACCTTCTGCCAAATACACTCTGTGCCACTACAATTTAACCTTCCAGAACCAACTTTCCTTAAATATTTTTTAAAAACATTTTTTGATTTAAAAAAATACATCAATTCCTGATCACTCAAAATAAGTTTGCTTACCTATGTCCAAGTTGATAATATTTACTACTATAGAGACTGAGTCTTATAACTAAGACACACATGCACAGTTGAGAGGAAAAAAAAAATTATGGAAATGAATTCTACTCTATCTATGATTCATTATACTCTTTTCCAAATAAGAACTGGATGCAACTGGGTTGACAGGGTATGATAAATTGACACCCATCCTTTGATAGCAGTAATGTAAATCGATATAACTTCACTTGATGATACCAAACAAAATTAAAAAAATTTATACCCATTTGAAAGGAATTACACTTGAAGCACTTTTAACCAACATACACACCTGTGTATGTTTGAAATGATACATATAGTTCAAGAACATTCATTAGAGAATAATTTAATAACAAGATTAGAAAAACATTAAATGTTCAACTTATAAAATACATGCTTATCTTAGATCCATATAATGAAATACTAGAGACATATTTATGTACAAATATGAAACACAAGCCAAGATATTAAGTAAAACCTCAAGTGCAAGAAAAATATGTATAGTGAATAGTGTTTAAAAAGATCATTTACACAGTATAAAATATGTTCCTAGAAGGATATTCAAGAAACTGAGAGTAATTGTTTTATCATAAAAAGTGTCCCAATGGAGCTCCACTTCCAGGATGAGATCATAAGAAATTCTAAGGACCTATTTCCCAGCAAGAAAGCAAAGCTGGCAAAAACTATTTTTAAAAACCCAGCAGTTAAAGTCTCTGGAAATTGTCCTACAGGAATACAACAAACATGAAAATGTTTATTCAAGAAAATCTACTAAAATGCCATTAAGAAAAGCAAGTGTTTGGTTCATGTGAGCCATGACCTCTTCCTTCCCACTGAGTGTGGCTGAATGGTCAGGACCGCAAATGCCTACATTAAAAAAAAGAGGGAGATCTCAGTTTAATTGTCTAATGTACTGACTTAAAAAACTAGAAGCAGGAGAAAAAACTAAACTCAAAGCAAGAAAGCTGTAAATAATGAAGATTACAGCAAATATAAATGAAATCAAGAATATAAAAACAGAGTCTCAAACTTTCTGATTTAAAAACTAACTAAAAAGTGAGGGGCAAGAAAGCAGAGGAGCGAATGGAAGTCACACTGACCTCCTCCAAGGACCAATCTGGAATTATAACTACGCTGTGGAGAAATCACCTGGAACAAAAAACTGAACAATAGCGGGAGAGGAGCCTTGTACCTCAGACAGACAGAAGAATCAGCTTTAGGACAACCTAACAGGTAAAGAGTGTGGTAGAGACTCGAGAAGGTGGGCAGGGTGCCCATGGGCGGGAGCACCAGTTGGCCAGATGGATCCCTCTGAGAAGAGTGGGGTCTAAACCATAAGCGAGGATCTCCAGCCTACAACACCAGAGCCCAAAATGTACACAGATAACAGCCAGCTGCGACAAGTGGCAGGGTTGCTCTCTGCCAGCAGCAAGTGGCTGGAGACACAAAGAGCCATTTAAAGAACCAACACATAAATTTTTATTTGCAGCCACTTACCCTACGCTCCGGCAAAGGCGGGGACAGAGTGGGCTAGAGACGCCAGAGGAGAGACTGGGGAAGGCTTTGGGGAAAGAACTGAGAGAGTAGCTGGCAAGATCCTGGTGCTGACTCCTCCCCGTTACGGCAGCAGCCATCTTGCTGAGGCAGACGACACCCCTGAGCAGCAACAGCATTAGAGGGCCCAACAGCCCCGCCTGCAGGAGGGAGTTGGCCCTGGACTGGTAGTGCGAAGCCTAACTGCTAATTGCAGAGTGACAGCCACAGAGAGTATATCCTGGGCTAAAAGGGGCACAGAGTGGGCTAGAAACACTAGAGGAGACTGGAGGCGAATGCTTTAGGGAGTAAACTGAGAGTAGCCAGTGGAATCCCGGTGTTGAGTCATCCACCATACTGAAGCAGCCATCTGCCTAACGCAGACCTCTACCCTGAGTGGCAGCAAAGTGAGAGGACACATTAGCCCAGCCCCGAAGAGGGACTCTGTCCCACCCTATGATGCCGAAGACTGACTGCTGAGTGTACAGTGACTAGATTAACAACAGAAGGAGACAGCCAGAGACAGTAGATTCCTGAAGTTTCAAACAGACAGCCTAAGGTCAGACAAGGTCAACATCTGACATCATCAGAGGCAGATCCAGAAAGGAAAAATAAGGGTAAATACTAGAGGCTACTGAGACGAAATCCACTATGGCCTTCTCCATGATCTGTGATATTTTCTTTACTACATAGCTTTTTAACATTCATTACAAGGTCCATCAAGTTTGTGCATATTAAGTCATTAGATTTTACACTAATAGTTTATTTCTCTCCACTCTTGTAATACTTTTAATCACTTTACAGCCTTATTAATACTGGTTCATTTGCTGTTGGTAGTGGAATTGCAGGGGGTAGTTATTTTGAGGATATGGGTTTGTTTTCTGGGCTTTGTGGTTTCGTTATGGCAGCACCTGCACAAAAACACACAAACATGGTGGGCAGAGTGACCCTCAGTCAACTGGCTGAAGGAAAGGATCCACCAAAGAACAACTAAACAACAATCAAACACCAATGGCTTCCAGACAATCAACAATAAAAAGCATAAAAGACGTACAAAGAGCAGCAAATTCAGGAGATCAAAGAGACTGCACAAATGAATCTCACAAGCCTCCTACCATAGAAGTTAACACCACAAAGTCAGGAAATCCAAACAGATAAATTTAAGAAGCAGAAAAATAAAAGAAGACTGTCACAAAAAATGGGAAGAAAAAGAAACACCTGCCAATAGAAGGAAAAGGAGGAATCCCCAGAAGGAGTACCAAATGAAATAGAGGCAAGTAAACTATCAGATACTGAGTTCAAAACAATGGTTTTAAGGAAGCTCAATGAGCTCAGTGAGCTCAGAGAGAATTACGAAAAACTACACAGAAACTATGAGGAACTTACTGAAAACTATATCACAATGAAAAAGGACATAGAAACTATCAGTAAGAGGCAAGAGGAAACGAAGTATACAATTTCTGAATTGAAGAACACAGAAGGAATTAAAATCACATTAGAGGAAGCAGAGGATAGAATTATTGAGTCCAGGAAGGATGGAGGGTCCCCATTCAAGAGGAAGCCAATGAAGCCCATTCCAAGACACATCATGATTAAAATGGCAAATAGAAAAGACAGAGAATCCTTAAGGCAGCAAGTAAGAAACAAGTAGTAACATACAAGGAAGCCCCGATAAGGTGAGCACCTGAGCTCTCAATGGAAACACTACAAGCCAAAAGGGAATGGAAAGAAATATTCCAAGGAATGAAAAGCAGAGACCTGCAGCCAAGACTGCTCTACTCAGAAAGGCTCTCAATTAAAACGAAAGGTGAAATAAGGAGTTTCCTAGACAAAAGGCTAAAAGAATACACCTCTACTAAACCAGCACTGCAATATATGCTAAAGGGACTGCTTTAAGATGAAGAAAAAGAGTGAGAAAGAGAGAGGAACACATGTATAAACGGAAAAAAAGAATAAGTACCTATCAATAATAACTTTAAATGTAAACGGATTAAATGCTCCAATCAAAAGACATAGGGTAGCTGAATGGATAAGAAAACATGACCCGCACATATGCCGCCTACAAGAGACACACCTCAGAACAAAGGACCTACACAGACTGAAAGTAAAGGGATGGAAAAAAATGTTCCAAGCAAATGGACAGGAAAAAAAAAAGGCCAGGGTAACAATATTTTTATCACACAAAATTGATTTCAAAACAAAGGCTATAGAAACCTAGGATACTTCATAACTATTAAGGAGAAAAAAATTTCCAAGTCTCTCCCTGCTCTTGGAGTTTTTGGATAGAGGGTTCCTTAACTTTGAATCTCAAGCTTACCACAATGCCTGAAATTTAGCTGGTACTCAAAAAGGAATGACTAAACACGTCTTGTAATTCAAACACACTAAATTTATGGCATTTGCTATTTCTGCCATCACAGTATTCCTAAATAAAATATAAAAATCTTTTAACTACCCTTACCTTTAGCAAAAAGGAAATAGCATAACTCAGTAGAGCAGGGTGATGAACTAAATTTAAACTGGTTTTATACTTTGCTATTCCAATTTTTTTAAAGACTTCAGGGTCAAAATATGATCCTTTCTGGAAGGGTTTGGATGTCCACAGGCAACCAACCATGGCTGTCAAATAATGATTATATTCTTGATAGGTCTTGCTGCTGAATATGAACTCTGATTTTGTCTATTGGGAAAGAAAAAAAAATATTGTCATTACTTATTCTTCTTTCCCTTCTTATTCCCCAAAGACCACATATACTGACACTTAATTTTTAAACAATGGTGACTTAACATAGGTTTATCATCCATACCTTTAGTACCAACTCATTTTTCTTTGCAGCTGTCAAATTATTACGGTATCTAAAAGGGTGAACAAAAAGAGTGAAATATTTAATATTAAACACCTTTGAAATATAAACATAAACAAAAGTATACACTTTAAATATGCACATGTGCACATACACAAATATCTAGCTGTCTAGTTAAGGTTGTAAATCTTTTATGATACATTCTCCTCAAGAAATAAAAATCATTAGAGGCTCAAATAATGAGTTGTATTTTTAAGATATGCACTTGACTGTATGTAAATTATACTTCAATAAAAAATAAAATATTTTTAATATTTCACTATTAAAAATTAATAGAGAATCAAAAGCAGTCAGTCACAAATACAGAACGTTTTTTATTAATGTGGAAAAAAGATGCAGAAGGAAAAAGGGTAAACTTACAAATGTAATCTTTTTTCATGCCTGAGAACTATTATCTAATTAGTTTTTAAACATTTTAACTTTGGCACAGACCTGCTAGTTATGCCAGAAGAGTCTACATTTAAGGGCTAAAAAGAGTAATTTCAGTCCATAAGTTAAAGAAAGAATACTTACACCTTCATATAATTAGCAACAGATCCCTTAATCTCCCAGAAAATGTTCTTTTCACCAGAAAAGCTATGTAGATCTAAACCAGATGTCAGCAAATAACTAATTTTTCTTTAAGATACAGCAATGAGAATTAACAATGCTGAGTGTAGCTGTACCATTGCACAAAAGATCCTTAACTAAAAATTTTTTAATCTATATCCCCCACAATGACATTAAAAAAAATACACAGTTAAAATAGCCTCATACTGGAAGGTCATTCCCAAAAGAAAGCCACATTTCCTATTTCATAGCCCTAGCAGAAAAAATGGATAATAATTTTATTTTGTTTAATATTTTATTGCATTACATGCAATACATTCATAGTGGTGTATTTACAAATTATAGTTAATTGTATAGTTGAAAAATGAAGATAAAATTATAATGTACTAATTCACAAAATGGTAAAAAAGGCTTTGTACCTGTGCATAATGTAACAGAGTTGGTTCAGGATACTCGAATCCACACTGAGGAGCGCAACATAGAAGATCCCAGGAGGAAACAACACCACTAATGGAACGTTATAATTTATATATATGTCACACACCTTTTGGAGAGAATATAACATCAGTATATAGATTATTCCCCAAAACCACCAAACAAGTTTACTCAAAGAATCATCAGGAGAGAATAAGCAATAATATAACATCAAGTTGGGGTGTGCCTGACTCATCAATAGAATAGTAGTCACAAGCCTGTTTAAAAATGTACCTCACCAAATATCTACCTTATCATAGAGGATTATTTTTAAAAGATCATTAAAAAGAGTTTTTTGTTTGTTTGTTCGTTTGTTTTTCCCTGGGGAGAGATTCGGAGTTGGGGAAAAAGGGAACTTTTTTTTTATCTTTAAGTTCCATAAATATTGATTTATCCTATTAGCTAGCTGTCAACCTGGAAAACAAAAGAGCATGCAGGAAGCTAGGAAAATAGATTAGCGGCTACTTCCTGGATAATAGTTCTATCCAGGCCAAATACCATAAACTAGAAGGGGGCCAGAATCATAGGTACTGGGAGAAAAAAAAACACAGTTGAAAAGTGGGAGCAGAGAGCTGAAGAAACAGGAAGGTACTTTCAACTTTTTCCAGGGGATGGGGACATATAAAGGATGAGCAAAAAGTGATGCTAGAGACAGATTTCTGTCTAAGGCCAGCATTATTCAGGAGAATGTCTATTAAAGTCACGCCTGGAATTCTCAAAAACAAATTTGTTTTCCCACTTAGTTTTATGAAAGTCACTTATTCAGGTGAGACTATAATCATTAACTTCAAAATGTGTAGCTTATTTTAACTATGTTGTTGGGAACTGCTGTCCGAACAGGGACCCCTGACCCCCAATACTATGCTAATAAGGTCATAGTCCAACTTAAGGATTGTCAATAATTTGAAATAACAGATGAGTAAAGCAGAAAGCCATCACAAAAATCTAAATAGGGTAAATGGGATGTATACCACCTTCTCATAGAAATCCAAAACAAAATGCAGCAAGAAAGTACTGTTGCTTTCCAAGCGCATTGCATTAGTGGACAGCCACCCTACATAGTGAATTAGCTCAAACACAGACTTCATGGATCCACTGAAAGTTGTCTCTCTGCAATAAGAAATCATGACAATCAGATGCATATTAGCAAAATTCTTCACAATTTCCAAGCCAAAGTTGAATGATATATAACAAAAAGATGTTAGGTATTTCAGAAAATGATCAGTATTTCAATGTATAATTTACTTCTTTTAAACCACAGTGATTAATCACAAAACCACGCAACCCTCTAGGGAGCCATTAAGATTAATTCACAGGACATCCTCAGCAGTCAATCTAGTAAATACCAGAGAAATAAAGGATTAAGCTCCAGAGTGACTTAGATAATAACCAAAGTAGTTAACATATATTGTCCAGCAACCATACCTATCAGCAAATTAGTTACAAAGTACACAAATCACAACTCAGTTTTGTCTGAATTCCTGAGCTAAAATGCTGTTAAAAATATTTTCATTTTAATTTAACTGGAATCCAATTCATTCCTAAAACTGAATTAGTAAATATTTTGGCATTTTTCATTGTTTTAGTAAAAGCCATTTTTACATATTTTATATTCTTTCCTAATCATTGAACTGTGTTTCTTTAAATCATGGATGTAATTGTTCAATTCATCCATCTAATCATCCCTGTCTTTCAATCAACTGTTGAATAGATTAGGAGAAAACCTAGAAATGTCATTTCATAGCTTTACACCCTCATCTAGGTAGCCAACAATGGTTATGCAGATAAGAAAAGGAATAGTATATTATCTTAGAGCTTGAGAGATGATAACAACTTTACCATTTCCCACCACTATGATCCCCAGTGCCAGAGAGAGCAGCGAAAGACTAGACCTTTCAAATAAGTAGGCATCCCTGTAGTCAGACAGCCATTTGCAAAACTGTATCTTAACTATGACTTTTGGCAGCAGTTGGTAAATGCAACTGAAATAATTCGAACAATGAAGATTGCTTAGAAAAGCATCCTTTGAAGTGTGTCTCCACAGGACACTGCTGGCATTTCGGATGAAACAATTTAATGTTCAGGACTGCCTCCTACTCCCCACCCACTGCAGCGTTTTTAATATCTCTGGCTCCTACCTACTAATGATGGGAGCACCCTCATCCCAGCCACTGTGCCAACCAAAAATGTGTCCCCCCACCCAGAACCACTACTGAGAATGGGTTCCTACCTTTCGTTCCTTGTAGTTTACAACTACAATTTACTCCTACTTTTTGTTCCTTGTGATTTACAGCCACAATTTACTCCCTCTTTGACAGTCATATATCATATGGTCATATGATGGAGACACTGAATTACATCCATATTCCCAAAGTAGAAGGAATTACTAAGAACTTCTAAGAGCTATATTATATAATGACAAGTGGTATTATAACAAGCAAAGTTACTTACATTTATGTCCATTCACTTGTATTAAGAATTTTAGAAAGCAAAGCTCCTTTTAAAATGCCCTCCCAAAATGTATGACACTAATTAAAAAAGGATCCTAGGATTTTTGAAAAGAAAATACAGAAATTGTAAAGCATTTATACCAAGATGCCTAACACCTTACAAGTTGGCCGAATATTATAGATGCAAATATACTATTCTTAATAGAATTGAGGTGTTCAAAAAGGTGAAGCATTTAAATGAAATTTCTTTATGATACTGGTTCTCAAACTTTAGCTTGCACCAAAATTATGGAAGCACTTATTAACACACAGATTACTGGGCCCTACCACCAGAGTTTTACTTCAGTAGGCATAGGGTAGGACCTGAGAATTTGAATTTCTAACAGGTTCCCAAGTGATGCTGATGGTGCTGGTCCGAGGACGACACTTTGAGAAGCACAACTTTACAAAATGCTTCCACTACCCACAAATGCTCCATTTCCTTCTAAATGTGATAAATGATATATAGAAGCATTGCAGTAATGAATATGAAGAATTAAAATCAGTTTCCAAAGCTACTCCCAAGAAGCTTCTATTCTCCATCCTCGTATCAATAGGTCTGGGCTATTCTTTTAACCAAGCTAACCACTAGCTATTTGCGACTGAAGCTAAAGACTCCTGTTTGATAAAGAATGTGACTGATAATGTAGGGACTTTGAACACTGATTAGATATTTTAAGATATTAAGAACCATTAATTTCTTAGGTGTTATACTGGTATCATTTTTCAACAGTTGAAATGATGTCTGGGTTTTGCTTTAAAAAATCTAATATGGAGGAGGAGGAGGTAAGTGAGAGGTGTTATAGATAAAAATGTTAACTATGTGTTGATAATTGTTGAAGCTGGATGATGGGCACACAGGAGTAATATCATACTATTTTCTTTAATACAAAATTTTTAAAACAAAATTAACAATAACGTGGCTGATAACAGAGTATAGGAGAAGCCAAAGATTTTAGGTAGGGTCAAAACAACCTAATTAGGCAATTCTTTGAAATTCGGTCTTTTACTTTCACTTTGAGGGCAAAGCATACAGTGTTAACAATAATCAACATAATGGAACATTCAATACTTTTTTTTTTATTCCAAAGTGAAAATAAATTAATGTATGTAACCAAAATACATCAGAGAAACATAAAAAACAGAAGTACAGCAAAATTACAGATTTTCCTAGCTAGCATCAATATTGACTTTACATATGTAAGAATACATTTTATAAAGTAAGCTAAACTTAATGGATGCCAAAGTTAAAAGTTCTAACATCAGCTCTCCACTGTTTTGCTATATTAACATTTGCTAGGGTTTGCTTTCTGATTTATTATACTTCCCCTCAGGACTGTGGGGAGGAAGAATGAAAAGTAACAAAAAAATCTTTCAGAAAAATAGGACTAAGCATTTATATAAAATAATTAGGTATCATGCCATATTACTAAACTCCATATGCAAACATTTGTATACAGATCATCTGTTGTGGAGGTTTATAAGATAACTCACAGAGAACTGTCCGTCACAGTTTTCATGTGGATGTCCATAGAAAGCCACAGCAGCCAATTCTGCAGTAGCTCTTTAAGGTTCTCAAGAACACTACACTGAGGGGCAAAACAAAACAAAAAATCATTTGTAAAACCATTCAGACATACCATAGTGTTGAGAACTAACAATCTAAACCAGAGACTTAGAAGTGAAAGGGACCACAGATATGGCTGCATTCAATTCAGAACCCAATACTGCTGCTTCAACCTTGATCAGTCTCCAAGAGACAGATGAATACAAATATAGTACAAGCTTATTTTGCTATTTTCTTTACTGGACTGTCCACAGGTTATCAGCCCAGGAACAGACTCTTGTTTTTCTAAACTGCATTTATTTATAACATATATTACATCATCAAATACATCATCCCCACTCCTTACTGTCTCTCCTCAGAGATCCTTTGAAGTTGCTCCAGGTAAGGGTTTCCCACTCTTTTTACCTTGTGCCTAAAACTACAACTTACTCCTTTGTTTTTGGTGATAAAATGTATCTTGTCTTCTGTGGTGGGGGAAAACAAAAAGTTCCAATCTTTCTTTTTTCAAGCCTTGCCTTGATTTTCCAAGGCCTCACTGACATACACAAGTAGCTTTGACAGAAGTGTGCTTAGAGCATTAATGAGGATAAATCTTAATTATTTATAAGTTTGAAAGCAATCCATACCAACTCAGAACTTAATACAGGAAAGCTTTCTTGAACATCCTTAATAAATAATCCCCTAGATACTACCTGAGCACCTCCAATGCTCACTGCTACTTCACAGAAACAGTTCAATTAATATTTTTTAGAATGGGAACAAAAAAGGGGATATGTTGAGTTGGCCAAAAAGCCCATTTAGTTTTTTCAGTAAGACACATTTTTCATTTTTACCAGTAACTTTATTGATTTGGATATTTTGAATATGTCGGCTATCTCCCTCTATTGGGTAAAGGCCAGGGGGACTGCTAAACATCTTCCAATGCATAAGGCAGCCCCACAGCAAAGAATTATTTGGCCAAAATGTGAATAGTACCAAGAAACTCCACAGACCACTTTAGACACGTTCAATCAGTCACAGCACCTTCTCCATACAACACACTTATCTTTTTTGGTATTTCAGGTGTGTTTTTACCAAGAAAGCATAATACACTGAAAATGTTGCGTATTGTCTTCCATTTTCAATATTAAAATGGCCGCACAAAAATTCACCAATTTTGATAAGTTTTTTTTAATGCATGCTGTTATGACAGCTGTCACAATACAATCTAACAAAAATTGTTTCAAATGAAGTTAAAGACAACTAAGCACTACTAGAGCCATCCTGTGGAAAAAACTAAACTAACATTTTGGCCAACACAATAGAAGTTCAGTGACTGAAAGTAACCTCATAGGATGACCTCATCATAAATTCCTAATTGGGCAGGTCATGATGGGTAGTCATATCCCAGGCCTATAATTTCATTAGTAAATTTTTTTTTAACCTTGCAGAGGTCATGGCTGATCTAAGAGATAGAAACTTTTTTCTTAAATATTACTACATGTATCAGGTACAAAGGTTCAAGGTCATGACTAGTTGAGCATTTGTATGTGACTAATGTTAAGACATAGTATTTAAGCTGTCAGTTTGTTTATAACATGTATTTCATAAGGGTGTGTGATACTGGATAGTAAATTGTATCAGAGATATCGCAAACTCTGAAGTCAGTGTTGTGTGTTTTTTTTCCTCATTTACTGTTGAAAATGGCTAGAAAAATATATCAATTCAATAATCCAAGAGATGTTGAAGAACTTTAGCAAATGCTACTGGAGTTGCTTATCAAAATATTTTTGCAAGTGTAGTAAAAAGTATTCATGCCTTGAGTAGAAAAATATTTTTTGTGATAACTGTTACAAACGTTTTGCAAAGCCAATTGAAGATTCTGATTAATTAACATTAAAGACATTTTTTGGTTGCATTTTTTAGCAATATCCATGTTTCCATTATTTGAAAAGAAATATCTTTATTCTTTATGTTTTTATATTTAATAATTTCTAGATAGTGACTGAAAATAAATTTTAAAAATAATGTATTTTATTATATAGATGTAATAAATGCAAATGCAGTGTTTTTATTTTTTTCCCCCATTTCAGCACATCCTAGTAATGGATGTATCTCTTGGATACACACAATGTATGCTACAATTTTTTTTTGACAGCAACCTCCGCAGGGTTAAACAAGTGCTGCCTATTATTTTTGTGCATCTAGGTTAACATATCTTTGAAATGTCAGAAGTTATACTCTTTTTCCAGACCACCCTCCAGGGAGCACGCAATCTTGTCAACTATCCTGTAATCCAGTTCCTGTCTTGCTTTCTCCCACCTTCCTGTAATCTTCCTTAAATTCCCTCCTTAATTCCAAATGCATAAAAGACATTACAATACTGTCACTCTGGAGCATTAGATCTTGCTTCCCAGCATGTCATCAGTTTAGCTCCAATAAACTCTAACACAAATTCTGTATAGGTTTGGACATTTCAAAAAGAAATTGACATGTTACTTTCAGATGTGAATGCAAGCCCCTTTAGTAAGCTACTCTTTCTCCTACTCGGTATTTCTCTGTGCTTCCTTCCCCCCTTCATTGATTCCATCCTTCCCAAATCTTTCAATTGCAGTTTCCAGAACCTCTATCCCATGGTAATCTAAACCTACACCTTCATATTCTTCAAAGTATGCTTTCTCTGTTTTCTTACTCTCATCATACTCTGGCTCTCCCTTTCCACCCAGCCAGCATACTGCTTCTGAATACATTTCCATATCCCACTTTAACACTTGGAGGTAAGCCCTGCCCCCAGCTCCTCACCGCTAATATGGAAACAGAATGTAAGCCCCTTCTTTTAAAAGGTAAATACAAAATCAGAAATAAATCTCTCTTTAAGAAGGGAGTCAGCCCTGGCTGGTGTGACTCAGTTGGCTGAAGCATCGTCGCATCACTGAAAGATTGTGGGTTTGGGCGTGTACAATTCTCCGCCTGGGCACGTACAGGAGGCAACCAATCAATGCTTCTCTCTCACATTGATGTTTCTCTCTCCCTTCCTCTCGAAAAATGCAATGATTAAAAGTCCTCAGGTGAGGACAAAAAATAAATAAAAAATTAAAAAAGAAGGGAGTCACCCTTAAAAAATATTAAAAAATTAAATAGACCTTCTATTTAATCAGGTACCAGAGGAAAATAATGCCTTGTTTTAGAATATTTGCAAATATTTTGTGAGCTAGAGAACCTCATTAGCAGTAACACTAGCTAGTTTTTTTAGGCTAAGATCAAAGCCCCATTTCAGATTGCACTTGTTATAGTCAACTTTTCTCATGAATTTGAGTACATTTTGGTTTTCTGAACACAACACAAAAGCTATCCATCTCCAACACTATTTCCAAATTATTGCTCTTCCTTCCTTATATAAAAAAACCCTTCATCCCTTGATGTTTACACTATCCAACTATACTACCTTTTACTGTTTATCTTTCCATATCTCTGCTATGTACCTGCTGCAAACTCATCTGCATTCATTGAGAAACTTAGCGCACTCTGCCTCAAGTCCTGCCATCAATCCCTCAGTTGTTAGTGTCCATGAAGATGATCCACCGAATACTTCCTTCAGCTTCACAGTTCCTTGTCCTCAAACCAAATAACCTTCACCTTCACTCTACCTTAGTTACACACTAAAAACCACACACTAAACTTTATCATAACCTGAATTGAACCACTACCAAAATCTACTATTATCCTTTGTTATGACCTCCTATTTTTCCAGCTTTCTCCCACCCTCAACTCCAGCTAGTTAATCTTGCTCTTTAACTTCAGAGGCTTTCAATACCCTGATTCTTCATTTTTAATGTCACTTTTCCATCTTTTCAGCCTTCTCCTGGCCTCACCTACCTATCTACCCTATCTATCTGTCTACCGAACTTATCTATCACAACTGCCATTCACTACACTTCACTAGCAAAACCCTAATTGATTCAGCCTCATAACTCACTTTGCTCTTGCATCTGAGCTGAAGAAAAACATACAACTATACAGATTGGTACCACTCCAAATTTACGGTCTCCAACTTCATCTGGACCCTAAATGAATCTTAATAATCCTTTCACTTATCTTCAATCAGTTGTCTCCTATTTTTCTCAGTGGCTGTTCTAGGCACATAATGCCTTTGTGAACCCCGTATTCATTTCTGTCCTCTACAACTCACTTCTTATTTTGAAAAATGTAACATTTTTAGGAACAAAGTATTTCAATTTCTTGCCCTTTCTTCCAACTGTACAACTATATACGAGGGTGTACCCACCCATCTGTAAATCCCTGTCCCCAGTATTACCGAATGCGTGATATCTGCCAACCCCTCAACATCCAGTCAAGCAAATGCCTCTATCTAGACTTAAGCCAGTACCTTCCCGTATCCTCTGCAACCCTGCATCATCATTTATCCCCATCCTTCCTCCATTTTCAAACATTCTCTCTTCTCAACCGGCTCCTTCTATCTATAAACATGCTCAGGTTTCTCACATTCTGGAGACAAAAACAAAAGACAAAAAATACCCACAATCTTCCCTTGATTCAAAGCCCCACTATAGCCATCTCTCTACCTCATCTTTTCAGCCAAAGTTTATGAAACACAGTCTATACTCACTGACTTGTTTTCACTTCTCATTGACTCCTCAACTTTCACAATCTGGCTTCTACGACACTCCAATGAAACTATTCACAAAAGTGGCTAAAATCTCTGCATTTTCTATTGCAAAAGAAATTTTTTGATCCTTATCTTTCTAGATCTTCCTTGAATATATGGCAATAGTATTTCACTCCTTGATATCCTGTATTGTTTGCTTGGCACTACTGCTGTCCTGGTTCTTTTCATACTTTTTAAAAATTAAATTTATTTGAGTAACATTAGTTAATAACATTACATTTTAATACTTCTTAAAAATGTTCCTTCACAGACTCTCCTTTTCAGCTGAGAATTAAATAATGAGTAGTCTTGAGTTCTGTCCTTTGCCCACTGTCTATTTCCCTTTCTCCATCCCTTCCTCTCCCCACCTCCCACTCTCAAATATAAACACATACGAATGTGTTTATAAATGTATATTTACTTATTAGGCTGGACCATATAAAATTGCTAATTGTCAAACATCCCTGATCTACAAAAAGAGCAATTTCATATGGTTCAACCTAATATTTATAGTTAAGTAGCTCTTTAGACTGATGGAATAAGAGGAGAAATAAAGAATAACCAAATTAGAAGATCAGAAGAGAATCACAAAAAGCTGTAAAATTAAATCCTTGAAAATATATTAGCTGGGATAAGTGGTGTATATTGTCATATGAATTATATTGGCTTGGCAGTAAATTACAAATAATATAAACAAACTTCAAATCCAGGTTAATGTGATAGGTAATTTTAAAATGCCATTTCATTATGACAAACTCCTGAACAACATATTTTTTTCCTGAAAATGTGGCCAACAATAGGCGCCTTAAGGTGAAGAAAAGTTATGAAGGAAACATCCACAAAGGAAATGGAAACCACAGTGTTTTTTTTTTTTGGAGAATTCCCCAGAACAGTAACATAATTTATCATATATGGCTGAAATAATTTTATTAGCAGAAAATGACTGTATCTAAATATATACTATGAGTGTCAGAGGGAGTTTTGTTTTCTTTGGTCATTGCTGTATTCCCAGCGTCAAAAAGGGTGTCTGGCACATAGTGGGTGCTTAATAAATAATGGTGAAATGAGTGTATCCACAAATATATCAACCACAACAATCAAACTAAATATGCTTAAGTATTCCCAGTTCGTTTTTTCTTAATACTCATTTACAATCTGTTCATTCACTTTGTCATCTGCTACAAGAGGAAACAGTTTAAGAACACTGCATGCAACTAAACCCTTAAAAACAGAAAACTATGCATTAACTTTGACTTCAGTGATGCAGTACCTTAAGTCCAGGTCCAGCAGAATCCTATTAGAAAATCATGACGTAATGTGGATTTGGAATCATGTACCACTGGCCACAGGATAATATTCCCTATTGAATCTAAGCAAGACAGTTTTTTTTTTTTACCTTGAAATAAATGGTTGATGTAAAGAAGAGCTGTGCCAGACGGTCAAAAATAAATGGTTTCACCTCTAGGAATTTAAAAAAATGATTATTCAGAATCCTTTTAATTAATATTACATTGAATTACATATTACTCCAAATTTTCAAGATACATACCAGAGAAGCTAGTAAAAGGAATCCAGCTCACAAGTTGAAGGAACTGTGATCGACAACAGAAGCCATCCCAGAGAGGAAGGCTCTTACACAGGAATGCTTCACAAGAATAAAACCCCTCCTGTAACACAAGTTGATTAACAAAACCTTTTATGGAACTCTTCAGTCTTAACTGATCTCTAAACAACCAGTTTATTCTGTGATATAGAAGTTTTACTCTTAGACTAATTTTGTCATCAATATAATTAAAATCCTTGGGTTAGGTGTAAGACTTCCCCATAATAAGGCTCAGATGATTAATATTTGGATATAATATCAGTACATTGGTATTAATCACCATAGTTTTCAAATACTATAAACTTCATCAATTGGAAAGATGGCAAAGAATGAACTTATGAAATTGTTTTAAAGATAGATAAAAAATATATTATTTTGGAGTACATGCAGTCACTTGAAGAGCCAACAAAACGTATGCAATGCTATATAATAAGAGTGAAATTTCATTAGAGGCCATAGATCAAATCCAAATTCTAGGCAGCTCCAACTGGACTGAGTGTCTATGCTGTTTACATTTCCACCAAAGTGAGGATAAGGCTTTCCTCACTGTTGTCCTTTGTTGCCCTGAGCCTTAAAGAGTGTGCACCAGAACTCTATTCTAGACCTTCTTTTGACAACATGAATTCTCTGGACAATCTCATCCATAAGAGCTAAAACCACCACCTATATTATGAGGAGTCCTAATCTATATCCTTAGCCCAATTCTCATTCCTGCACACTCCAGAAGCCTTATTTAACTGTCTACTACTTATAATCTCTCAGATGTCCCACAGACATCTTTTAAATCAAATTTACCTTTCCTTCCAAGCCTGCTTCTCCTATATTCCCTTTCTCATTGAATACCAAAATCATCCTCACAAGCAGAAAACCTAAAAAGTCAACCTCAATTTATCCCTTCATCCTCACCAGCATCATCCACACCCAATTTCTGATTCAATAGTTTCAAGCCCAGTCCTTAAGATTTATTCAACAAACATTTATTGAGCATCTCTTTTGTACCAGTACCACGCTGAACACCTGTACAGGAAAAAAATCTACACATGGTTCCAACTCACCAGGAGCTCATAATGTGCAGAAAAATAGATGCTGAATGTTCCATGATACAGGTAACCACAAGAAAGCAAAGGAAGCACACCAAACAAGTATTTAACCCATATGGGGTATTGGGTAAAGGCTTCCTCATAGAGCAGATACATGAGTTGCAGCTCCAAGTACTCAGGGTTATCCAGGTCAAATAATTAATTGGCTGGGACATCTCAACATTGAAAAAATGTTTGTTGATTATAAGAACACAAGTAGTGACCCTATGAGGTTTATCTTAACTGGCTAATTCAATTAGTTGAACCCATCCATTTACATCTTCAGTTTGTTCTTTTAAATTATAGGCCATTCTCTCTTATTTGCATAATTTAACAAATCATTTTCTTCAAATCCAACCATAGAAAGACAAGCATCAATTCAATTCAGCTCTATTCAATTCAGCTCTATTCATGAGTTCTGAATTGAGCAAGAATTGTTTACAAAAGATGTCAAGCACTAAAGAAAATGTTTTCAATGGAAACCAAATAAATTTTATTAAGCGGGAGTGTGCACAAGTGGACTCTTACTTGTAAGAAGCACTCTGCCTTGATGATAGTGTCCAGGAAGCTGGTAAATTCTTTTCCACATTCATAATTATTCACCTTGTACCAAATACATTCTGGAGCATAAATATTAAACATAAGCATCTGGCAGCACATCAATAAAAACTACATGAAATATAATTATCATAACTCTAAAGTAACCAAAAAATGGTAAATATAAATAAGCCATCAGTATCTTACACCCTAGCCAACTCACACTATAGACTACAACAGGTATGTGGAGATGATAGTGAGACATTCCTCAAAAACTTGGTAATGTATGGGGAAAGCTTATAATTAAAAAATAAACCGTTAAAATTTACATGTAATCAATGTGATCAGCTTTATGTCACATAGTGATACAAGAACTATAAATGTATGAATTCAAATTTATGAATACCCTAAACTTCAATTAGAGTGACCTGGGGGTAATCTAAGAGTGGTAGGACTTTAGTAAGTGGAAATCCAATAAACTGTATCATATCCTACAAAGACAGACTCCGAAAAGAAAAAGGAGAATTAACATGGAATTGACTAAAACCGATTTTTAAACATTGGTAGTCAGGCATTGCTTATTCAGGAAAGAAACAATCTGGTAAACAAAATACTATCTTTGAGAAATTGACTCCCTTGGAGGAATGAAACAATCAAGATTTACTATGACTTAGATGAAAAACTCCCTCACTGTCCTTTCCTTCAATTCTATAATTAAGAAATCTTCTAATGACTAATTTGGTCCCCATCTATACTCATAGCAAAGAGGAAATACTCTAATTAAGAGACATGAACACTTCTGGTCACCAGAATCACTTCTAGTATGAAATAATAAGGTGACATTATGGCTTATACAACAGTCTCCCCCTGAGTTTGGTTAGCAATGATCTGTAGAATCTTGGGCTTAATAGCAAGTTTCTGGACATACAAAGATGAAGAGGCCTTGGGTTGTGGTCCAGGACTCAAAGTTCACTCATTCCTTTTTATAATTTTTTTAAAATTTTAAAATTTATTTTTAGAGGAGAAAGGGAGGGAGAAAGATGGTCATCAAAATGGAGCCATCCAGTAAGTTTTGGTGGTCATCCAGCAGTATTTCCTTACCAACACACCTCCTTTCTTACTGCCTTTAAAATTGCAACAAATATGATTTTTATCCGAAAAATAATTACAGCTCCTCCTGTCTAGAATTTGACACCCTTATAAAAGAAACCCACTCATAAACTCTCTTCTTCCTTCCTTAATCATCCAACTTCTAAGTACCAATTTTTACCTTCTTGTAATGTTTGATTCAACCAATGATATAGCCTCAGTAAGACTGATTCATCTCTGACACAGTTAATATAGTGAAGTAGCAAAGAATTGTTCAGCACTGCACCCATCTGAGAAGGCAGCTGCAAAGACAGAACAGTCAGTCAAGTTAAGTATGTAAAAAGTAGGTCAGAGCAGTAAGTAAATCATCACATAGGAAATATATAACAAAAAGAAAGGCCATGAAGAGCAAATGGAAAACGCAAATCAACACATGGTCCAATCACATACCTCTAAGCAATGAATGTTCTGTAAGAGTTGAGGGAAGCTTTTAAGGTGTTCTACTGGAAATGGCCTATTGCTACCGAGATAATAAGAAAGACACATTCTGTTTTTTCCATATTCTTTACTGTGGCTACTGGAATTTAGCACTGGTATAAGTGAATGAGAATTCCATTTCTAAAGAAGAAAAACAATAAAATAATCAACTGATGGACTAAACAGACTGCAAACTATAAATGTAAAAAAAGTTGTTAAGGTTGTTCAATGAATGGAGTTTGAATGTGGGTTGCATAGAATCTTAGGTAACAAAAACATATTTAAATATCTATAATATCTTCCAACATCTAAATGGTTATTGTTTGGATTTAATAAAAGAAGGCCTCACAAAGTCATCTGAGATTTTAGATACTTACTCTTTTTCTGGGACGGACATTGGCGGGACCTAACATCAGCTTTAGAGGTTCTGGAGAAGGTCCCTGATTCCTTTGCCTCACAGCAACTAGAGCTGTCTTCCACAAGTTCTCTGAATTCTTAAAATATATCTATAAATTTGGATGTAAAGTACATGAGAGTAGGTACCCATAAGCTGAAGAAACATAAAATACTAAAACTCGTTATTAAAAGTGTATTGATTATAAAATACTTTGGACCCATGCAAATCCATTTAAAGATGTTTTTACTTATCAAGAATCTATTAAATACATCAAATGGAACCAAAATGAAGTACCAATCCCTAAAAAAAAACCTTCCCAGAAACAGTGTCACAATACTAGATCTTAAAAGAGTATGCTGTAAACAGTTCAGTCCAAATCTGTAAATTAATAAAAAGTAACATATTTCAGTCTCAATATGATTGATCACTCTTCAATCCCTTACCCTCTTCTTTACAGGCAAAGATACAGAAATCAAAGTGGGAACAAAGAACTTATACAGTGACAGCAAAGCATGGAGATAAGGCTGCATTCCCTGAAATAAAATAAGAGTTTTTAATTTTTAATTATGCAGTCAATAAGAAAAAAGAACAACAACAGAATAAACAAACTAAACATATATTCAGACCCTAATTTTACTATGCAATATCACTATGGGAAGATGTTATAGAAAATCAAGGAATAAATAACGAGGCATTTAAACCAACTATCATAAAACAGCCTTCACCATTTTATTATCTTCTCTTTTATGACCTTTCTCCCTATTTTAATTTTCTCTTTTATTTTCTCTCTTCTTATTTGCCCATGCCTTAAGGTTACCAGTGATACCTGCTAACATAGCTCACTCCCACTGGCAGCATATTCAGGACTCAAAGTTCACTCATTCTTTTTTTTAAGATTTTCATATTTATTTTTTGAGAAGGAGAAAGAGAGGGAGAGAAACATCAATCGGTTGTCTCTTGCACACCCTCAACCAGGGAACTGGCCCACAACCCAGGCATGTGCCCTGACCAAGAATTGAACTGGAGACCTTTTGGTTCAGAGGAAGATGCCCAACCCTCTGAGCCACACCAGTCAGGGCTACTCGTTCTTGATTTGAACAGGAATGCACGAAGTCAAAAAGGGAAGCCAGGAAAATAGAGCAAAGTGAATATTAATCTATTGTTATCACAATTACTAAAAAATTGATTAGAAAAGCTAACAATTGGTATGTGGTGGCCAAGCTGCTTCCTGTAACTGGAACAAGTCTTAAGAAAAACATTAATTTTACAATGACAGAAGTCACTACTGCTGGATACTTGTGCTTGATGTACCTGGCTCTCTAGAGAAAGCATACCGCTAAAATGAATTCCAAGGAAGTAACCCAACTGTTATGTCACATTACTCTTTTGTTGAATCAAATACCATACAAAATAAGGAAGGCAGAAAATGGGGCTTAGGAATATAGTATCCCTGCCTTGTAATGGCTTCTTAAAATTAAATTTATTTTAACAAAACCAAAATGGCCCAATTTATCTATGCTGAAGTATCTTCTGATCTCTGCACTCATATCAATTAGTATCAGAGTGTTTTCTTTCAGTTGAAATGTTTTTTGATAGAGCAAAGACTTAGTAGTGGAACTTTAGAATTCATTGCCTACTTAACTGAAACTACCTTTGTTGTTACAAAGTGAACACTTTTTTTTTTAAAAAAAGGAGACTTTCTACAACTCTGTGACTATACTAAAACATTGAATTATGCACTTAAAATGGGTGAGTTGTGTATGATATGTGAATTGTGTTTCAATAGATCTTTTTATAAAGTCAATTATTTTTTTAAAAAGTTAAACAAGGCGTATTAAACATATTATGTGTTGAACTCTGAGTCCTCCCAAAGCCCCACTAAAAAGTAAGGAATGGAAAAGGCATAGAGCACAAGTTCAAAGAGAGCAAGACAGGAGACAATGGCAAATGAGAGATCTCAACAAGATTTTGGAATCTAGAGTGAAGATGAACGAATAGTAACCAGCTTAGCAAAACAGAGAAAAGGAAGCCTAAAGCTGCAATAGGAAAAAGCCTCAAAAGCATTAGGTTCATGCTTGAGAAATCCCAAAAAAGGCTCTGGAATTTTTAGAACCAGACACCTCTGAAAAGTGGAGCTGCAAGAGTGGCAAAAAACAGGAGGATCAGTTGAAAGCTTACATAAGAAGCAGTTAGAACCACAAATTCCCTCACTAATAAGCAAACATCAGGGTTTTACTCTCTGAAGACAAAGCTGGACTCAGACAGCAGGCACAACTGGGGTAGGTGTACCAGAACTTCTCTACACCTCTTTCCACTGCTTATGTCCCAGAGTCTTAGTGGTCAGGTTCCTATACCTGTGATGGTCCAACCTGGTTGGACCATGGGGCGCCCAGGCATTTGATCAAACATTATTTTGGGTGTTTCTGTGAAGGTGCTTTGTATGAACTTTTAAATCAATACGCTTTGAGTAAATAAGATTGCCCTTCATAATGTAGGTGGGTCTCATTCAGTTGAAAGCCTACGTAGAACAAGAAGACCAGCCTCCTGGAAGCAAGAGAGATTTCTCCAGCTGACTGCCTTCGGACTTCATCTGTAACACTAGTTCTTCCTGGTTCTATAACAGACTGACTTTGGACTCAACCTAGAACATCAGTTCTACTGAGTCTCCAGCCTGCTGGCGGTTTTGTGTCTCTAGAGAAGCCTGAATAATACAACTCTTAGGCAGGAGGCAGAATTCATCTCTGGGAAAAGTGACACAGTCATTGGGGGTGGAAGGCTCCCCAATGAAAGAAACATTACGAGCCCGCAATAAACAAGTCCTCACACACACCAGTTTCCAATCGCCATTTTAGTGCATTACAATGAAATATGGACAAAAAAGGTTTACCAGGCATTAGAGAAAAGCCTCAACCATGAAAAGAACTAAACTAAATAAAGGAACTCTGAGCAAACAGACAAATCTGAGAACAGGAAAAAAAAATCACAGCACAAGTCACACAGGCTTGTGCCTGGTAGACAGAATCCCAGAAACCATCTTCACCACCCCTTAAGATGAGACCTAACTCTGTGTCCTTCCTGTTGCAAAGATTGCTCTCAAAGGGCCCTGGCACTTATAAAATAACAACATCCTTGCTCTGCTTCCTACCATTCATGTTTGCCAACAGAAAGACAATTTCTGTGTTTTGTTTCCTCCATGGATCAGGAGTTAATGAGGCATGGAGTGTACAGACGGAATACATGCCTTTATAGGTACCAGAAATTCACAAATCCAATACATTTGTTCACATGTGCTCATTATAGCTGTTACCATTCCATATGTTAGGTTACATGTGAACATGGCTATGTCTTCTTGGCTTGGTATTATTGGATTTGAACAAATTCACCAAAATATAGTAATTCAAAACAATTTATGAATGCACCTTTATAAATGGGCATTGATAGTGGAATAATGTAGTAATGAGTTATATAGAATGTTGGTAATAAAGCCATACAATTAATGTTTGGGTTTAAAATTTTTAGATAATGATGTGCTAAATGATACACTTGAACATACACTCTTTCAGTTAATGCAAATCAGCAAGATCTTATTTATGGTAAGAATTTTCTTATTCTGTTAAAATGTTTTGCTGTTAACATGTAAAAAAGCACATCTCTTTCACAATTTTTATTAATGTGAAATAAAATTCAATTTGGATAAAAACATTATCATCAATATCCTCTCAGAGCTAAGATATTATGTCCATAAACCAAAACAGGAAGCTATAAAACAAGATCACTGAATTGTACTAACAGGAAACCTCACACTGGAGAAGCACAAATGTGCACATGTGTTTATGTTTTTCATCAAATCTGAATGCTCTTGGGTGGGTCACGAAGGTTTCAGCAGTTAGGCACAGGCACTATAACTACCTATTGCTTTACACCCAAAGCTTCACAGACTTCTGTTACCTGGCAGGTTTAGAGGATATAAAAATGCAAGACTGCTATAAGGGGTATCCAGAAGAGAATGCTTTCCTAGGTCACACTCACACACATACACACAAAATTAACTGGTCGCTTTATTTTAATAAAATAGTTGTTTCTGACTACTCCCTGACACTTATTTTCCAGCCATACCAACCCAGTTCCGTGTAACAGTTTTACATCTACACATCTTTGGTCATGCTGTTCCTTCTGTCAGGAGTGCCCTGCTCTTCCTTCTTGACCTTGTTAAATCTTACTGATTCCTTTAAAATGTCTCGCAAGCATCACCACTCCTCCTTAACCACAGTTTGATTCTGTTTTAGTTTGCTGACTGAGTTGCCTAGACATTAAGTTCCTTGAAGGTAATGACTCATTCCATTTTATATCTCCAAAGCCTCACCCAATAATTATCACAGAGTACACTGGCTAGTTCTGGGTCTTTGTGGGACTCACCATTTTCACCTGAAGATCAAGAAGTTTTCTCACACGAAATGGTTTGACTAGTAAAGGTAAAAAAAAAAAAAAAGTACTATGGATGTGGCACATAGAGCTTCTTCTTACAACACATCAGGAATATAAACACCCCAGTTAAGCCATTAAGCAAATGCTCTTAGATAAAAGTATTAAAAATGAATTCCCACAAAATCCTGTCATAGTACTAATACAAATAGTTAACTTTATGAAGGCCAATACAAATGCTAGTTCAACAGAGTGAATGTAATATAACTGGAATAAAAATACTCACCATTCTCTTTCTTGGTAAGTAAATATAAGAAATGGCAGACGTAAGGGCACTGTTAAAAGAGAAAAACTTTTAAAAAGAGAGAAATAACAATATATCTTGAATACAACATCAATAAATTCTTCTCAAATGTCAATCGTATACTGATTAAGTAGAAATGTTTCAGGACATCATAGGAAAATGGTTTTACAAAGCTTCTCTTTTTCATACTACCCAGTAGTGATACAAAACAACTGCTCTAATTCATATCGTGTGATGTCATTTTTAAACATATTTTAAAAATATAAAACACTGCATCTTGAAAGATAGAAAAACACCAGGGGAAAGTGGTAGCAGGAAAATGGAGACAAATATATTTGAACAATAAAAAAAATAAAAATAAAAATAGAAAATCTTCTTTTACCTAACAAAAATCCATAAATTCCTTCTAAAAGTCCATATTTATTAAGATAACAAACTTAAAACTTTTGTCCTGAATTCCCACTTCAAAGCATTTTCCCATGTTGTTTGGTCTTCAAAATAATCATTTCCAATGACCTTAATATTCCAATGAGTGAATATAATACCATAATTTAATTTATCATTTAGTGGGTTTGGCAAATAGCACACAATCAATAAATCAGTTGCTTAATTTGCTAAATGATTGTCTCCCTTATGCCATTACATTTTGAGTGTCCACTTGTTGAGGTTTTATTCTAGATCAGGAGTCAACAAACCTATTTTTGTAAATCAATTTTATACCTGTTTTTGTAAGTCAATTTTATTGGAACACAGCCACACTCATTCCTTTATGTACTGTCTATAGCTGCTTTCACTACACCAGAAGAGTAGTTGTGACGGAGACAGTATGGTCCTCAAGCCTAAATATTTACTACCTAGCCCTTTCAGAAAAAATTTGCCAACAAATTCTCTAGATGTTAGGAAATTGAAAAATAAATCGTTTAATGGAACTAGAGAAGGTAACAAAAGCAGACTTTTTATTTTATTTTTTAAAAGATTTTATTTATTTACTTTTAGAGAAAGGGGAAGAGAAGGAGAAAGAGAGGGAGAGAAACATCAATGTGTGGTTGCCTCTCATGTGTCCCCCGATTAGGGGACCCAGCCTACAACCAGGGCATGTGCCCTGACTGGGAATCGAACCGGCAACCCCTTGGTTCGCAGGCCAGCATTCAATGCATTGAACCATACCAGCCAGGGCAAAAGCAGACTTTTTATAAACAAACTTGTATTTTGGTAGTCAAGAACTAAAGTTTAAAGACTAAAGTACAATATTCCATATTGCCTCTCCTCTACTTAGCAATAGATTCAGAAAGACTCTGAACATAACTCGTAAAAAGAATGAATTTAGATAAGGGATTCTTTTAAAGGGATGAATAATATTATGACGCATCTGCCATATTTGACACAAAATACAATTACCTTAAAAAAAATAAGAAAAAAGAAAACTCATTGTTTTGTCCTGACTAGTATGGCTCAGTTGGTTGAGAGTTGTCCTGCAAAGCGTAAAGTTCACTGGTTGGATTCCTGGTCAGGGCACATGCGTAGGTTGCAGGTTTGGTCCCCAGTTGGGGCACATATGAAAGGCAACTGATCAATGTTTCTCTCTCATTATTTCACACCCTTAAAATATGAAGCATTAGTAATACTACTTAACATGCTGGGTATAAAATGAGTCTCACACAATCATTTGTACTAGGTACCAACAGCACAGAAAATCTGACATTTTCTTTAAATCACAATTAGAAAGGAAAAACTCATAAGTGCCTAGGACTTTACAATTGTCTTTCTGGCAAATAGCTAACTACCATGTCTGACTCAAGCCAGAGTCAGGCTTCCACCAAATTATATGAAAATGAATTTTCTGAAGTAATGCTTTCAAAAGTCAGGCTCCCTATTTCTTGATGTGGGTGATATTTTCCCAACTGTTTTTAGTTTATAAAAAGTAACTGAGCTGATAACTTATGATATAGGCCATTTTCTGCATGCATATTATACTCCAATAAGTATTTTTTTAAATATAGAAAAAAGGGACTTCCGGTGAAGATGGTGGCATAGGTAAACAAATTACCCACCACCTCCTCCCAAAACCCCATCAAAATTAAAACTGAACTATAAAACAACCATGATTTAGAACTGTCAGAAATCAGGACTTCTGGTCAAGATGGCGGCATAGGTAAACACAACTAGCCTCCTCGCTCAACCACATCAAAATTACAACTAAACTACACACCAAAGATCACTCAGGATCATCAGATATCCAGCTGAATGGAAGCCTGACAACTATGGAACAAAGAAAACCACATTGATCCAGAAGGGCAGGAAACACGGAGATGCTGAATGCAGGGAAGGCGTCCCCACACCCATGTGTGCCGGACAGAAATCCAGGAGTATCTCAGGAGGGAAATTTCCCAGACTCCCCAGCCCATGGTAACAGTGCCAGGAAGAGAAGCCCCCATAACTTCTAGCTGCAGAAATGATCGGGATTGGAGTTGGTCAAAAATATACTGGACTCCAAGGCAGTTCCTCTTAAAGGGCTCCTGCTGAACTTGCACAGATGCACTCCCTCTGAGCTGCAGCAACAGGGTGGCAGCTTGAATGGCGCCAGTGGCACACAGGGAGGAAATGAAGTGTCTGGCATCAGAGCAAGTGCTGAGGGACGGCTCTCTCCCAGACAGAAAGGTGGGAGAGAACACTGTGCCTTTTTTGAGCCCTCCCCTAACACAGCCACAGAACCAGCAGGCAGGAACCATATCTGAGACTCCATCAATGTGGCTTACACTGTTTGTCCAACCCTGGAGTTTACCTGAGGCTCCACCCCACCCAATGAGTCACCCCTAGCCCTATACCTCTTGCTAAGTGGCCCTGGACCTGGCACCAGTAGCAGCCTGCCTGGATTCACAGCTAAGCTTCACCTGGGAATCTCCAAGGCCAACATAAGTAGCAGCCATCTCAGGTTGCTTTATAGGTCAGGCAGGGTGGCCCCAGTGCTGACCATGGCCTGACTGGGGAAGCCCCGGAGCCTGTGCACCCAGTGGACAGCTACAGACCACATCGCAGCACTACCACCCTGCCCCTGCACAGCTGATACTCAATGGAGAGTGGAGGTTGGTGGTCAGTGGTCACAGCCAGTCCTTGCAGTGGACTGGCCTGGGTAAATCCCTCCCATTGACCTGCCAACAGCAATCAAAATTCAACTACAAGAGGAGGGAGTACTTAGCCCACCTGAAGGGTGCATGTTGAGTGCCCAGCTTGGGTGACAGGGGAGGCTGTGCCACTGGACAATACAGGACACCTACTCTATTAGGCCATGCTACCAAGACAGGGAGTCAAAGAAGCTCTACCTAACACACAGAAACACAGGGAGGCTGCCAAAATGAGGAGACAAAGAAACATGGCCCAAATCAAAGAACAGACCAAAACTCCAGAAGAGAACTAAACAAAATGGAGACAAGCAATCTGTCAGATGCAGAGCTCAAAATATTGGTTATAAGGATGCTCAAGGAACTTAATGAGGACCTCAGCAGCACAAAAAAGACCTAGTCAGAAATAAAGGATACACTAATTGAAATAAAGAACAATTTACAGGGAAACAACAGTAGAGTGGATGAAGCCAAGAATCAAATCAATGATTTGGAACATAAGGGAGCAAGAAAACAAAAACAAAAATACCACAACGTGACTGGTACAGAGTACAGGGGAGACGTGAGAGGGCTGGCTGGGCACCCACAGGCAGCAGCTGAACTGCTGGATGAATATTTCAGTGGCTGGGGGAATCCCATTGAGAAGTGTGGCGTCTAAACCCCAAGCTGGGATCCCCAGCTTTAACATCAGAGCCCAAAAAGTACCCAGATAACAACCAGCTGCTAAAAGTGGTTTCTCTCTGCCAGGAACAAACAGATGGAGATGCAGAGAGCCTTTAAAGGGCCAACACATAAATTTTCATTTGCAGACATTTACCCTGGGTGCCGGCAAAGGGAAAGCAGAGTGAACTAGGGACGCTTGAGGAGAGACTGGGGACGGTGGCTATGGGGAGAGAACTGATAGAGCAGCCACCAGGATCCTGGTGCTGAGTCATCCCCCATACTGCAGGAGCCATCTCAAACTACCCTCCTCTGAGTGGCATCATCATGAGGGGAAGCAATAGCCCCACCCACAGGAATTACTTCGCCCCATCCTGTGGTGCTTATGCCTGACTGCTGATTACAGAGTGACTAGATTAACAACTGAAGGAGTCCGCCACAGATGGTAGATCCCTCGTAGTCTCACACAGGCCGCCTAAGGCCAGTTGGGACACCACTTCACATCACCAGGGGCAAATCCAGAAGGAAAAAAAAGTGGTACGTACTACATGCTACCAAGAGAAATCCACCATGATCTTCTCCACCATTTACACTATTTTCTCTCCTGCATAGTTTTTTAACATTCATTTCTTGTCCTTTAAGTTTGTGCATATTAAGTCACAAGATTTTATACTATATATATAGTTTATTTCAAATCTTATATTTTGCTCCTCCCTTCTTTTACCCCATTCCACCTTCTTCTCTCCTCTTCTTATTTCTGTCTCAAATTTTCTTTTCTCTCTTGCTACACCTTGCTTCCACTCCACACTCTTACTATTTCTCCCCCATCCAGCCTATCAAAACCATTTTTCTTGTCATTGGTCCTCTCATATTCATTTTCCCACTCTTAAATACCTGTGTTCTCTCCCCACCTTTAGCAATCTTTGCTCATAGGTAGTGGATAAAGTGGTTGTTGCTACGGTTCCTCAATCTTATTTCTAGATAGCGACTATCTTTGTATTTCAAATCTTAAATTTCACTGTACCCCTGTCCTACTCCATTCTGCCTTCCTCCTGCTCTTCCCTTTTTTTGTTTTACATGTTAATTTTTCCCTGTCTTAGCTGGGGTTTCTTCCTGCACTCTTAGTATCCTTTCTCCCTCTATCCTCTCAAAATTACTTCTTTTTCCTCTAGACATCTCCTAAGCTCTTCTTTCTTTCTTTGTGCCCTCTTATTCCCATTCCACCTATATAAATCTTAACTCATTGGTTGTTGATATCTCTGTGGTGGAGATTTTTCTGCAATTAGGGCCATATTATCTTTTATATACATATTTTTGGTTGTTGTTGTGGTTGTCTGTTTTTTCTATCACTAGATATACCCAAATATATGTATTTTCTTTAAATTTCAGTTTTAACCTAATACTACACACTTCTCCTCTCTTACTTCAATCCACCTTTCATCCTCTTTTTTTTAGATATGAAGTAAATTTTATTTTCTTTCCTGCTTTGCCTTGGCTCTATTCCCTAGTCTTATTATTACAACTCCCTCTACCCTTGCAGAATCTCTTTTCTTTCAGTTATTCATGCCATAATTCATTTTTCCTTTCCTACAATAGTCTTATTCTGCTTACACCTTTATTAATATTGGCGCAGTGGCTGGGGATAGTGTAATTGTGGGTGGAGGATACCTTTGTGGGTGTGGGCCTGTTTCCTATGCTGTTTGGCCATTCTAGCAGCACCTGTACAACAGTATACAAGACATGGAGGGCGGGATGACTCTCAGTCATTCAGCCAGAAGTAAGACTCCACCAAAGAACGACCCAACAACAACCAAAACCCAATTAAAGCCACATAAAAGGCATAAAAGGCACAGTAACAGCATTGAGCACAGGTGATCAAGGAGATTGCACCACTGAGTCCCACAGCTCTCCTACCACAAAAGAGCATACAACAAAGGAAGGGTGTCAAAGCAGATCAATCTAAGAAGCAGAAACAAACAAGAAGAGGCACCTAAAATGGGGAGACAAAGAAACAATCCCCAATTGAAAGGAAAGGTGGAATCCCTAGAGAGAATGCTAAACGAAATTGAGGCAACCAAACTACCAGACATCGAGTTCAAACTAATGGTTATAAGGATGCTCAAGGAGCTCAGTGAGTTCTTTCACTGAGTTCTTTCAAGAACTCCAGGGATGCTTCAAGGAACTTACTGCAAACTACACCAGAATAAAAAAAGGACATAGAAACTATCAGTAAGAGACAAGAGGAAATTAAAAATATAATATCTGAAATGAAGAACACAGTAAAAGGAATCAAAAGCAGGTTAGATGAAGCAGAGGATCAAATCACCGAGCAGGAGGACAAGGTAGAAAAAAATTCCCAGACAGAGAAAAGAAATGAAAAAAGAGTCAAAAAGAACGAAAAGGGGTTTAAGGGACTTGCAGGACAACATGAAACATAATATCGATATCATACAGATACCAGAAGGAGAAGAAGAGTAGCAAAGGATAGAAACACTGTTTGAAAATGTAATGACAGAAACTTCCCTTAACTTGATGAGAGGAAAAAAACATGCAAGTCCAAGAAGTACAAGGGGTCCCAATGAAGATGAACCCAAAGAGGTCAACTCAGAGAAACATCAAAATAAAAATGGCAAAATTCAAACACAAAGAGATTATCTTAAAAGAGCAAGGGAGAAACAGATAGTAACATACAAGGGAGCTCATAAAAGGCTATCAGCTGACTTCTCAACAGAAACACTGCAAGCCAGAAGGGAATGGCAAGATATATTCCAAGTCATGAAAAGCAAAGGCCTGCAACCAAGACTGCTCTACCCAGCAAGGCTCTCAATTAAAATGGAAGGTGAAATGAGGAGGTTCCCAGACAAAAGAAGGCTAAAAGAATACACCTCCACCAAACCAGCATTGCAAGATATGCTAAAGGGACTGCTTTCTGAAGATGAAGAAAAAGAGTCTATGAATACCCAGTTCCTTTCACAGTCACCAATACTTGATATTACCAATATTTTTAATACTTATTAATCTGATTGTGACAATGATGTATTATTTTAACTGTTACTTTATTATTTGTTGAAACTAAATCTGTTTTTGAATATTTTTTGCCAATTTCCATTATTATTTTAAAAAGCTTTAAATTACTTTTTGGTATTCTTTATCCATTTTTTGATTAAATGTAGATTTTTTTCCCTAAAAAAAAACATATTAACCCTTCTTTAGATGTGTGGGCAAATACTTTCCTATTCTATTACTTGTCCTTCTGGCAGGAAACTCTCAGATATCCCACGCAGCAATTTTTTCACTGATATGTCTCCTAAAGCAAGGGACATAAAGGAAAGAATAAACAAGTGGGACCTCATCAATATAAGAAGCTTCTGCACGGGAAAAGAAAACATCAGCAAAATGAAAAGGGAACCAACCATATGGGAAAATATATTCGCTAATGATTCATCAGATAGAGGTTTCATCTCCAAGATATATGAAGAACTCACTCAACTCCACTCCAAGAAGACAAACGATCCAATCAAAAAGTGGGCAAAGGATCTGGGCAGACGCTTTTCCAAGGAGGAGATACAGAGGGCCCAGAGGCATTTGAAAGAATGCTCAGCATCACTAGCCATCAGAGAAATGCAGATCAAAACCACCATGAGGTACCACCTCACACCGGTCAGAATGGCCATCATAAACAGGACAACAAACAACAGGGGCTGGCGAGGCTGTGGAGAAAAGGGAACCCTAGTCCACTGTGGGTGGGAATGCAGACTGGTGCAGCCACTGTGGAAAGCAGTGTGGAATTTCCTCAGAAAGCTGAAAATGGAACTGCCTTTTGATCCAGTGGTTCCCCTGCTGGGACTATACCCTAAGAACACCAAGACGCCAATACAAAAGAGCGTATGCACCGCAATGTTCATAGCAGCACAATTTTCAATAGCCAAGTGTTGGAAGCAACCTAAGTGCCCATCAGCAGATGATTGGATCAAAAAATGATGGTACATATACACAATGGAATACTACGCAGCAGAAAGAAAACAAGAACTACTAAACTTCGCGACAGCATGGATGGAACTGGAGAGCATCATGCTAAGCAAAATAAGCCAGGGGGCAAAAGACAAATACCATATGATCTCACCTATTCATGGAACCTAACCAACAATGCAAAGATGCAAGGAAAATAAGACCAGCAACACTGAAAGAAAAAGAAATCAACAGAGACAAGAGGGAAGGGGGGGCAGGGAAAAGGAAGGGAAGGGGAAAGTCAAGGAACATATAGCAAGGACTCATGGACAAAACCAAAGGGGAAGAGCTGAGGGAGGGAAGGAGGGAGGGGGCAAGGGAAAGTGGTGGGTGGGAGGCAGAGACAAATGTATTTGAAAAATTAAACTAAAATAAAATTAAAAAAATAACTTTTTAAAATATGTATATTACCCTATAGTTTTAAATGTTTAATATAGACATATTGTCAATATTTTACTTTATAGCTTATGGGTTTGAATATGTTACTTCAGGGTAAAAAACATATGAGTTTGTATTTTCTCATAAAACTTCATAGATTTTACATATTGATTTTTAACTCACCTGAATATCTTTTGTATAATGTGTCATATAGGGCTCTATGTTTGTTTTATTTCAAGTAATAGTCGTCCATGCACCTTATTTGTTGAATAAGCCTTATTTCACCCATTGATTTGACATATCAATTTAATCATATATTATATTGTTAGATATACATATTTGTTTCTAGAATGCTCATTTTATTTCATTGATCTACTTGATTATTTCCGTGCTGGTGTCATGTTTCAACTGCTGAGACTTTATAATGGATTTAAATTTTTTAATGTTTTATAATGGATCTTGACATTTAAATAAATAAGTAAAATCAATCTGCATTTAAAAAGAAAACAAAAGAAAGAAGGAACTCCTACCTCTTGCGACAACATGGATGGAACTGGAGAATATTAAGCTAAATGAAATAAGCCAGTTGGTGAAAGACAAATACCATATCATCTCATCTATAAGTAGAATCTATTCAACAAAATGAACCACAGGCATGGAAACATGGAGCAGACTGAAAGTGACCAGAGGGGATGAAGAAGGAGGACAATCGTGGAAAGAAGGAGAAGGGACTAAACAAAGAACATGTATGAATGACCCATGGACACGGACAACAGAGTGGGAATTGACTGTGGGAGAGGGGGGTGGGGGGATGGGTAGAGGAGGGTAAAGGGGGAAAAATTGAGACAACTGTTACTAGAATAAACATGATTAAAAAAAGAAAATAAAGGAGAAAAAAAAGGAACCCATGAATACATAAGTGCAACAACAAATTCCCTCCCTCTCCCTCTCTCCCTCCCTCTCCCTCTCCCTCTCCCTCTCCCTCTCCCTCTCCCTCAAAAAAAAAATTAGCCCTGGCTGGAGTGGCTCAGTGGATTGAGTGCTAGCCTGCAAACCAAAGGGTCGCCTGTTGAATTCCCAGTTAGGGCAACAAGTCTGGGTTGCAGGCCAGGTCCCCTGTACAAGGCATGCGAGAGGCAACCAGACATTGATGTTTCTCTCCTTCTCTTTCTCCCTCTCTTCCCCTTTCTCTAAAAATAAATTAATAAAACTTTAAAAATTTTTAAAAAAGGAAATGTAGAATAAGTGACCCAAATGACCCCGCTTAAGTGATTCAAAAAAGAAAAGATGGCAATCACTGCAAAGAGACTCCAATGTAGAGTTAACTCTATTTGCAACATTTTATTTCCTTGAAAGATATAAAACTAATAAGGTAAAAAAGTTGTATATTTGTTCATATGAGATAGAGGCAATGGTGTAATGTTATTCTTTACACTTTTCTATATGTTTGATACCTTTTAAAATAAGTAAAAAAACACATTGTGTGGCACTTTGAAGCACATGTGGTACATCAATATACAAGCACATACCAGCTGATCGATACATGATGCTGTTCAATTTTTACTTACCAGTGCATCATCTTGCAATGAAGCAAAAAAGAAGCCATAGAGCAAGTTAATTTTCTCCTTGTGATCAATGAAGTCAAACATTGCAACCAGCCAACGATAAAATAGTATCTATTGAGAGACAAAATGTTTATCTTTAGAGAAGTATAACTGGCACCACAGAACTTAATTCCCCACTCAGGGTTGTTCTAGAAGCCTCTAACAGGGGTGGTCCAACCTAAGAGCTCCAGGCTGCATGCAGCCCAGGATGACTGTGAATGCAGCCCAACACAAAATCATGTATTTGCTTAAAACATGAGATTTTTTGTGATTACATGTTGCAACGTATTTAATGTGTGGCCCAAAGACGCCAAAAGGTTGGACACCTCTGCCTAGCACAAGGCAGAGTAATAGATTTTTATCTCTCAGTAAAAATTTCTGTTTGAACAGAGTCCTTGCATCAAGCTACATTGTTCCAAATCTATAGGCTTTGCCCAGAAGGTCAGTGCCATTACTAAGTGGCTCTTCCTTGCCAGTCCTTAAGTGGTTCTGAAGAACTTATCATCAAAGTGTTTAAAAAGGTTACCTTAGACAACTTCCAGTCAAGATGGCAGCACAGGTAAATGTCACTTGCCTCCTCACACGACTACATCAAAATTACAATTAAACTATAGAACAACCATCATTCAGAATCATCAGAACTCGAGTTAAACAGAAGTATGACAACTACAGAATTAAAGAAACCACATCCATCCAGACTGGTAGGAGGGGCTGAGACACAGAACGGGCTCATCCCACATCCACGTGTGGTAGATAAAAATGTGGGAGGGATATCTTGGGAGCAAGGAGACGAACCTCCACACCAGGCTCCCCAACCCAGGGTTCCAGTGCCAGGAAGATAAAACCCCATAACTTCTGGCTGCAAAAACTAGCGGGGATTGAGTTAGTGGAAGAAACTTTCGGAGCCCTACACAGTTCCTCTGAAGAACCCACACACAGACTCACCTAGTCAGACTCACTCCCTCTGAGTTCCAGCACCACCAGAGTAGCAGCTTGAAAAGCACCAGTGACATACAGGGAGGAACCAAAGTGTCTGGCATCAAGGCAAGAGCTGGGGGACAGCTTCCTCCTAGTCAGAAAGGTGGGCAGAGGCCATTGTCCCTTTTCTGAACTCTCCCCCTAACAAAGCCACAGAGCCAGCAGGCAGGTGCCATATCTGCGACTCCATTAACCTGGCTAACACTGTTTTCACTGCCCTGGAGATCCCCTGAGACTCAGGCCCACCCAAGCTGTTCACAGTGACTTTTCCATACGATTGGCTGGTCTTGGATCATGCTTCACAACTTCCTAAATCCTCTAAAACAAGCAAAAGCCAGCCTCAGTGAGCCCCTAGGTCCTGCACCTCTTGCTAAGTGGCCCCAGGCCTGGCACCAATAGCAGCCAACCTAGATTCCAGCTTGGCTTTGCCTGGTAATCTCCAAGACCAGCACAAGTAGCAGCCATCTCAGGTTGCTTTCGAGCTCAGGCAGGGTGGCCCAGGGAAAACACAGGTGGGGCTGACCTTGGCTGGCAACACCTGGGAAACCCCACGGCCAGTGCACCCAGTGGACAGCTACAGACCAGGTTGCAGTACCACTGCCCTGCCCCTGCACAGCTGATCTTCCTCCAAAAGAGATGGCTGGTCGTCAGTGGTCACAGCCAGTCCTTGCAGTGGCCTGGCCTGGGTAAATCCCTCCCATTGACCTGCCAACACCAATCGAGGCTCAACTACAAGAGAAGGATGTACTCAGACCACACGAAGGGCGCACCCTGAGTACCCAGCTTGGGTGATAGGGGAGGCTGTGCCACTGGACCCTATGGGACACCTATTACATTAGGCCCTGCAACCAAAACAGGGAGTCATAGCAGCTCTATGTAATACACAGAAACTAACACAGAGAGGCTGCCAAAATGAGGAGACAATGAAACATGACCCAAATGAAAAAGAGATCAAAACTCCTGCCCTGGCTGGTGTGGCTCAGTGGATTAAGCACCAGCCTCTGAACCAAAAGGTATCTGGTTCAAATCCCAGTCAGGGCTCATGCCTGGATTGTGGACCAGGTCCTTAGTTGGGCATTTGTGAGAGGCAACCAAGTGATGTTTCTCTTGTATATCGAAGTTTTCTCCCTCTCTTTCCCCCTTCCTCTCCCTCTTTGTAAAAATAAATAAATAAAAATCTTTAAAAAATACTGCAGAGAAAAAAACTAAACAAAATGGAGATAAGCAATCTAAAGATGCAGAGTTCAAAACACTGGTTATAAGGATACTCAAGGAACTTAGTGAGGATGTCAACAGCACAAAAAAGATCCAGTCGGAAGTGAAGGATACACTAGTTGAAATAAAGAACAGTTTATAGGGAAACAATAGTAGAATGGATGAAGCCAAGAATCAAATAAATAATTTGAACCATAAGGAAGCAAAAAACAGCCAATCAGAACAACAAGGAGAATTAAGAATCCAAAAAAACAAGGATAGTGTAAGCAGCCACTGGGAGCACTTCCAACGCTCCAACATTTGCCTCATAACAGTGCCAGAAGAAGAGAAAGAACAAATTAGAAATCTATTTGAAAAAATAATGAAAGAAAACTTTGTTAATTTGGTGAAAGAAATCAACATTCAAGTTCAGGAAGCACAGAGTCTCAAACAAGATGGATGTGAACAGGTCCACACGAAGACACATCATAATTAAAATGCCAAAGGTTAAAGATAAAGAGAGAATGTTAAAAGTAGCAAGAGAAAAGCAGTTAGTTACCTACAGGGGAGTTCCCATAAGGCTGTCAGCTGATTTCTCAAAAGAAACTTTGCAGGCTAGAAGGGCCTGGCAAGAAATATTTAAAGTCATGAAAAGCTGGGACCTAGAGCAGAGACTGCTCTACCCATCAAAGACATCATTTAGAATGGAAGGGCAGATAAAGAGCTTCCCAGACAAGAAAACACTAAAGGAGTTCACCATCACCAAACTATTATTATATAAAATGTAAAAGGGACTTATTTAAGAAAAATAAGAAGATCAAAACTATGAACAATAAAATGACAATAAATACCTATCTATTAACAACTGAATCTACAAAACAAACTAAGCAAATAAGAAGAACAGAGACAGAGTCATGGATACAGGGAGCATTTTGATGGCTGCCAGATAGGAGGGGGGAGTGAAGGAACAGATGAAGAGGTAAGGGCATTAAGAAATACAAATAGGTAGTTATATAATAGCCATGGGGATGTAAAGTACAGTATAGGAAATGGTGTAGCCAAAGAACTTATATGCATGACCCATGGACATGAACAAAGGTGTGGAGATTGTCAGAGGGAGTGTGCAGGGTCCTGGGTGGAGGCGGGCAAAGGAGGAAAAATTTGGACAACTGTAATAGCATAATCAATAAAATATAATTTAAAAAAGAAAAAAATAAATAAAAAGTTTACCTTGGTGCTATCACAACACTTGCCAACACAAAGCCAGGAGACTGCCTTAACCACAGAATCTTCTGATATTAGATTTGCTGGAATCATGCATCTCAATATCCGAGAGCTTACAGCACTCCCTGGAAAGCAGACAAACTCTATATTAAACTGCATTTTGGTATCTTGATTGTTCCCCTACTATTATTCACTCTTGCTCCAAAAAAAAAATCTCACTTTACATGAAAGGCAATAAAAAAACATGAGTAATATTTGACATTTCTTATCATCATTACAAAACACAATTTGAAACAAAAATATACCTTAAACTTCTAATATAAACTATAAAGCAAATTCTTTGGCACTAATATTTCTATTTCAAAGGGGAGGATATATTCAGGGTTTCTTTTTGGGTGAAGATACGTTTGGGAATTAGAGTGGTGATGGTTTCACAATTCCGTGAATGTTAAAAAAACAAACCAACCCCGAATTGGATGCTTCAAAAGTGTGAATTTTATGGTATGTGAACTACACCTCAAAAAAACCCTTTACTCACAAGAAAATTTCAAGGATTATTCTTTTGTTATTATGTTTTGTAATGGCACAAGAGATTCTGATTTATTTAAACTACTGACAGGCATCTTACATGGGCTACCATATTTAAGAATAAATAAATATATTTTTACTCTCCATCCTTCCCCAAAAAGTAAAGAGGATAGTAGAATGGCACAGCTATCCTTGGAATTAGATGGCAGTAATATTCTATACTGGTTCAATTTTTCCATCATACTCTCTGGTTTCCATGATATCCTTCCATCTGGTATGAGAAGTGGTGTTGCAAATAGCTTTGTATACACCCTCTATCAACTTCTACGTATTAAGGCTTCAAGAATTAACTAGGAATCTCATTAATTCCTTCTTTTGTATTTAAACATTGTTTTATTTGCATTCTACTGTGGTGATCACAACCATTTGCTGAAAAGACACTGTTCTCAACTTGTCACGCAAGTAGAATTCGCAAAAGCACCTTCGACACCTGTGTCTTTAACCACTGTTTTATATGCCTGTAAGTGTGGCAATCATCTCCATTCCCTATAATAACACTTTTCTCTATTTCTCTCACAAGTAGCATTCTTAAAAACACCTAAAACATCTTTAAACACTGTTTCATATGCATTATAGCATGGTGATCACATCCATTCACTGAAATAGTGCTGTTCTTAACTTCACGTGTAAGTAGCATTTTCAGAAACATTTTATACACGTCGTTTCTTTTCCCCTGAGGGTAAAACTTCACTTTATATTTCTAAATAAAAATAAGAAGCTTCTGCACGGCGAAAGAAAACATCAGCAAAATGAAAAGGGAGCCCACCGTATGGGAAAATATATTTGCTAATGATACATCAGATAGGGGTTTGATCTCCAAGATATAAAAAGAACTCACTCCACTCCACTCCAAGAAGACAAACGATCCAATCAAAAAATGGGCAAAGGACCTGGGCAGATGCTTTTCTAAGGAGGAGATAGAGAGGGCCCAGAGGCATTTGAGAGGATGCTCAGTGTCACTAGCCATCAGAGAAATGAAGATCAAAACCACCATGAGGTACCACCTCACACCGGTCAGAATGGCCATCATAAACAGATCCACAAACAACAGGTGCTGGCGAGGCTGTGGAGAAAAGGGAACCCTAGTCCACTGTGGGTGCGAATGCAGACTGGTGCAGCCACTGTGGAAAACAGTGTGGAATTTCCTCAGAAAGCTGAAAATGGAACTGCCTTTTGATCCAGCGATTCCCCTGCTGGGAATATACCCTGAGAACACCAAAATGCCAATACAAAAGAACCTATGCACCCCCATGTTCATAGCAGCACAATTTACAATAGCCAAGTGTTGGAAGCAACCTAAATGCCCATTAGTAGATGATTGGATCAAAAAATGATGGTACATATACACAATGGAATACTACGCAGCAGAAAGGAAAAAAGAACTACTAAACTTTGCAACAGCATGGATGGAACTGGAGAGCATCATGCTAAGCGAAATAAGCCAGGGGGCAAAAGACAAATACCATATGATCTCACCTATAAGCGGAACCTAACCAACAATGCAAAGATGCAAGGAAAATATGACCAGCAACACTGAAAGGAAAAGAAATCAACAGAGACAAGAGGGAAGGGGGGGGCAGGGAAAGGGAAGGGAAGGGGGAAGTCAAGGAACATATAGCAAGGACTCATGGACAAAACCAAAGGGGATGAGCTGAGGGAGGGAAGGTGGGAGGGGGCAAGTGAAAGAGGTTTGGGGGAGGCAGAGACAAATGTATTTAAAAAGTAAATAAATTAAAAAAAATTAAATTAAATTAAAAAAAAACAAAGTGCTACATCTTACTGTGTATTGATATTTAGAAACCTATAAAATCAACCTGTCAAAGGAAAAAAAATTGTATATATTTAAGATATATGACATGATGATATGATATAAATATACATAATAAATTGACTACTACAGTCAAGTTAATTAACATATTGTCTCCTCACACAGGTACCACTTTTCATGTAGTAAGCATCTCAAATCTACTCTTAGAAAATTTCCAGTATTTATTACAGTATTATTACCTATAATCATCATGCAGATCTCTAGATTTATTCATCCTGCATAATTTACAATAATACATCTCATCAGTTTTTACCTATCATTCTGCAGAGAAGGAAGCAAGCAGTGATAGCAAGTAATGAGTCACAGGAATAAAAACCTCTCCTTTCTATTCCTGTGGTTCTTGTTTTTTATTTTTTTCTCCCACACTTTCACCCTTTAACCCTTCTAAAGTTTAAAACAATCTGACCACTAACACTTTACACATGTACCAAATTCAAAGGGGGAATTCAGTACAGACTGTATTCTTACTTCCCAATGACCTTTTAATTAATTTCTAAAGAGTCTAGTTTCTTTGCACGTAATTTCGACATTTGTGGCACACCTGCCCCTGAATATGCATTACGACTCAGCAGAAGAGCTACATATAAAAATCTAGTAGCGATGAGGAATATCATAGAAACAACTAAAAGGGCAAAAAGCAGTTGAAGAGGTCACATTTCACATCACCAAATTCCAGCTTAACAGAAAAATTAAAAGTTATACTAAAAAGCTAGAGATTGTATTTTACATAACGTATTCAAGTTTCTAAATCAGAGGCATGCATTTTGAGAGAGGCATACATTTGCCACGAGACCTGACAAACATCACAAAAACATTAATTGCTGAGATATAAAAAAAGAAAAGAGAAATTTCAAAATAGAAAACACCTGTACATTCCATGCCTGTTTTAAGAGGAGAAGGGAGGGAGAGAATTGTTCTTGATAAACATTGATCAGTTAAACATAGGTTCCTGGAAAGATATTAGAACCACACAACCTAAAACCACTTAAAAGAAGAAGAGCCTTGCCCTTCTGACTGGTGTTGCTCAGTAGGTTGGGTGTCGTCCTGCAAATTCCAAGGTCACTGGTTTGATTCCTGGTCAGAGCACATTCCTAGGTTGCAAGCCAGGTCCCCACCCCACACCCCCCCACGCCTCGCTGTGGGCATTCAAGAGGCAACCAATGTTTCCCTCACACATCGATGTTTCTCCCCCTCTCTTTCTCCCTCCCTTCCCCTCTCTCTAAAAATAAATATATAAAACCTTAAAAAAAGAGCTAATTTTATTATGTTAAATTTAACTTTCTAGAATATACAAGGAAATAATCAGGTAAAAGCAGAGAAATAAAATACCTAGGACTCATACATTGAATTCAGCTGGTAATGTTGTTGCTTCAAACACACACACACACACACACACACACACACACCACACCCCCCCCCCCCCGTAAACATGCTGCTAGGGTATACACAAAGGTACCTAATATGCAAGGGCCAGTTTTGACAGTCTTAATTTGAAAAAAAAAGGTAGAAAACCCGATAGCAGTGTGGTACAGTGCAAACTCTAGAAGGGGAGTTAGAAGATCTGAATTCTCCAGTTCTAGCTCTGGCATTTAAGCAAATCTCTTTAACCACTGTGGGCCTCAGTTTCCTCACTTTAAAAATGAAGATGTACAGAGTCTAAAATACCTTCTAAGTTGCAATGTGGATAAGAGTAGGTTAAAACATTTTTCTCAAGTAAAAACAGTACTGGCCAGATGTTATTTCTTCCTAAGAACTCCACCCCCACGCCCATTCCAAATTAATTTATAACAGGAAAGGGAGCATTCATACAAAAACTAAAACCCATCTTGACTGTTATGGTCATAGATGCTGGAATGGAAACAGCATCAACAAGGACCTGTTATAGATAAGTGAACCTAAAAGCAACAAAGTAGACCAAGTGATCTCTTAAGGTGTCTTCCAGCAACATTATTTAAATTATATCCATGCGCCCTGGCTGGTGTGGCTCAGTGGACTGAGCACCAGTCTGCAAACCAAAGAGACTCTGGTTCAATTCCCAGTGGGGGCACATGCCTGGGTTGCTGGCCATGCCCCCAGTAGTGGGCATGAGAGGCAACCACACATTGATGTTTTTCTCCCTCTCTTTCTCCCTCCCTTTCCCTCTGTCTAAAGAAATAAACAAATAAAATCTTTAAATTATATCTATGCTTCTCAAAAGAAATACTGAAAATGACTCTCATGTATTCGGTGACAAGAGTATATATATTTTACTTGTGTAGATAGGTGATAACTAGCTATTTTCATCATACACACAGAAGCTTTTGGCTCATAAAGTAGCCTGAATATAAAAAAGTCCCATTTTGGTTTTGTAAATAGAATAGTAAAAAAGAACTGCAACTGATTCCATGAGCCATGTAATTCAAAGTCTGGGAGGCCAAACTAATAGCAAACTATGACAAATGTATCCTCTTGACATACCAAATTTGCCACTGAGTGCCACATTTAAGAGAATGTCAATCCCTTCTGGAGCTAACCCATTCTTCCAAGCCATATCTTCCACAGTTTTCAAGTGTTTTTCCAAGGTTTTATCTTTACTCCGTGAAGTTTTAAAGGGACCTGGAAAAAGGAACCATATTAAATAGTGGGATCTTTAAAATTCTTTCAGCCTCAAGCCTCAATGATTACAACTTGGGATACTTTAAAGGAATAGCTTTATCTATAAAAGGTCTTCCTAAAAGCCCTTCAAAGCCTTAAAACTCTAGAATATTTAACAGCAATAGCAACTTCAGGGAGGAAAACTGAATCATGCCTTGGCATCTCTGCTCTAAACTAATGAAAAGCACTGAATTTAGACAATAAGCTGTGTCAATACTAGGGCAGTGGTCCCCAAACTTTGAAATCACCTAAGGAGTCTTTAAAAAAATCCCAGTGCCCAGGTGGTATCCCCTACCAAAAAATCATATTGTCTAATAATAGATGCCAAGCATTAGTGTGTTTTAAAGATTCCTGGGCAATTCCAATGTGCAGTAGTTTGGAACCCGCTCTGCCAGGAACAGCTTTGCTGTTGCATACCTAGTACCAAGTATATTGATATGTAGTAAGGCAGGTGCTGAATAAAGGAGCAAAAATATGCTCTCCTTTAAAGTTCCTTAACAAAACAGTCTAGAATATTTTGACAGACGTAGGACTTTTATAAGGAAAATAATCTCTTACCTTTCTCAAAGTATCTCATTGCTATCTGCAGAGCATCTTCTGCTTGCTCATCAGAATCAGCATGTTCAGAATCTTCCACTGGACTGTTTTGTCCATGTTTCAAGATGCTCTTTGAGTTGCTTAGGTTCTCTTTCAACTTCCAGGCCAAGAGATTAGTCTGATAACTATTACTACATCGTGAAGTTCTCTTTGGTGTCTGAGAGTTCTTAACTCTCTTCTGAGGTGACATTACTGCACATGTTCTATACAGAAAACAAGTGTCATTACCATTAATCAACCAAACTGTCCCTTTTTACCCAACAAAGACAGAGACAGTATCTCCCTATATTCCCAAAATTTAGTATACAGTACCTAACATACAACCAGTAAACGATAAATAACCTGACAAAAATCTGGGCAACAAAATCTGTAGGTTATCTTTCTCGAAAAGCCCGTCACCTAAATAGGAATAAAGAGAAACAGCTCTCCAAGGTAACATTCACCAGATGAACTGGCCTTCCTATAAGAGAGAAAAAAAAAAAACAGTGAGAGTGCAGGTAACATAGCAAGTTCTCTTAAAATGGCTATGTCACATAAACGAGTCCAAGACTAAACCATCTCATGAACTCAATCTTACTTTCTTCAATCACTCCTATTTTTTTCTACACCTCCTTGATTTTGCTTCTCATCTTTTATGCTCCCTACTTTGTCAGTGCTAGGTTAAAACTAGTTCAGAAGTCAAACTAGGGGGGAAACTAAGGTTCTCAGAACAGAAAAAGTCATTAATTAATTCACTTATTCAATAAATAATTACTGAACATCATCTATATGCCTAGCACAGTTCTAGTTACCAGGATAAAATAATAATATAGTCAAGGTCTCTTCTCTCATGAGACTTACGGGGGTGGGGTGGAGTGTGACAGTCAATACTAAATAAGTACCATATTTTGCCGTGTATATGTGCATCCACATTTTTAGCCCAAACTTTTAGAAAAAAATTCTTCCATTTTAATTTTTAATTCAATTACTTATTTATATTTAGATACTTGTTTTTTGTATTATAAAGGAATTTTAGCATCTATTTTTGACCCTATTATGGTATAAGAAATTTTATGTAACAAATAATTACAAAACACAAGAACAGATACAAGGTATTTCAGGTACTACCCATGCATAATGTGCAGCCTTTCTTTCTCTGCAAAAATTTGGGCAAAAAAGTGGGCAGTATACACGGCAAAATCCGCTATATAGCTAATAGGGAATATAATACAGTAATGTGATAGAAACGAGGTAGGGGTGAGAAGCTACTTTGGAGTAAGTGTGCAAAGAAAGCATCCCTGATTGACCTTTAAACTGACATTTGCATGCCAAGGAATCAGATACATGAAGATGTTCTTCTGTAAGAGCATTCATGGAGACGGAAGAGTAAGATTTGCTAAAACCTTAAAACAAGAGCTTTGCATGTTAGAAAAACAGCAGCAACACTGGTGGGAGGAAGGTGGGGTACTGACATGAAAGAGGCAGAGGGTAGTGGGGGATAAAGTCAGAAAGGTAGTCAAGGGCTATCATATTGAGACTTGTAAACCAGAGTAGTGTTTGGATTTTAAGTATCATGGCAGCTACTGGGGAAGAGTGAAGTGTTAGGGAGGGGAGTGATACCATCTGACTTAAGTTTTAAGCCCATTTTAGCTGCGGTGTGAAAAACAGAATACTAGGGATCAAGGAATGGAAACAGAGCAATTAAAAGGGTCTTGCTAAAGTCCAGAAGAGAAAATTGTAAACTGAACTACGCCTAAAGTACAGCAGTGGAAGAGACAAAAATGATTGTATTCGTGATACGTTTTGGAGGTAGACTGGGAAAGACCATGACAAAATACTAGATGTAGGGAAAAGGGAAGAGAGGAACCCAGAAGACTTCTAAATGTTTGGCTTCAAATCAGAAATATAAGGGAATGATCAGAATGACATTCAATCCCACCTCCCTAGAACAGATGAGGCCAAAGCAGGAGAGCACCTACACGTGTCTAACCCAGTGGGAGGTTCCAGGTTCCGAGCAGTTTCCTAGTTTCCTACCAAAGGGCTGGCGAGCAGCTTCAGACCCCACTCGGTTGACCGGTCCCCTGGTTTCCCAAGACTCTCCCCGGCTCTTCCTGGGCTAGGGAGGAAAACCGGACCCCAGCCACACTTTGCAGGATAGTCCTGCTCAGAAGTCAACGAGATCCCCTTCGATCTCGGAGCAACCCCCTTTCGCGCGGTATTTAAAAGTACCTTACCCACTGCATTCTTCTATCCCTGAAACTCCGGAGTCAAATGATCCCCTCCAAGATTCAAATAACCAAGCCCCGCCCCACGCATGCTCTTCCGCTGAGACGCTGGAGGCGGCCTGGCAGAGCGGCGCGCAATGCTGAAATCTGATTGGTTAGGTTACAGTTTAACGGCGCGAGGAGGTACGCGCGCGCGCCGACGCTGACGCAGACCCAATTCCGTTTTGTCGTTTGCCCCCGGGACTTGCGGAGAGTGGACCGTTGCAGCGGGAGCTAGCTGATTGGCTGGCGTTCCAGCTGTCCTAAAAAAATGTTCGCATTCGTCCTTTTGCTTAGAACAGAACAATCAGCGTCTGGATTCTTGAATTTAACAAGATTAATTATAGTGATCATTTTGCCCAGATTGATCCCAAATGTGGAGACTTGGTAGGAAAATATGAAACTGCAAACTTTGCGATAAAGACTGTCTCTCCCATGCTGGGCAAGAATTTTAGGTTAAAGGGTCTGTGACCTCTAAAGCTGTCCCTTTTCTCATGTGAAACTAGGAGATGGGAGGGAAAAACGGCTAGATCTGCCCTCCTTTTACCGAAGATGGTAAAAGGATTTCTTCCAGGGTTGGCTAAAAACGTGCCCTAAGCCAGATGTAGCACGTTGCACATAACCCGCCAGTCGACAGGTATGTAAAGATTCCTAACTTTGAGGGGTGATGGACCTTAAAGAAATTGGGAAAAACAGTAATACGGGCTTAGTGTGAGATCTCAGCTTAGTCCGTAGTTTAATCTCCTACTGGAGTAGGAACCGGAGAGAACAGATAGAAACAGCTCTCGCTAATTTTTGAGACCAAAACATACCCATAAACTATAGGCAAAACTATAGGAAGAATCTTAGAGAGAGATGAGGAATCAAAGATTAAGTTGGTGTATTTGGGAGACTACAGCGGAAATGACTGTTTTACCACATTTTATATTTGTACGGTTTTTCAGCACACTTTCATGAACTCTTATTTAATCGTGCATGAAAACTGGGTGTTCAGTATTTTCATGGCAGCTGATCTTTTTCTACAAGAACTGAACATTTCTCAAGTCACTTATATTTTTAATCATTTCATAGACTCAGTTGTAAATTGGAAGGGGTTTTAAGCTTTCAATCCCCTTCTTTTTTGTAAATGATGAAACTGGGACCTTGAGTGGTGAAATAACTCACCTAATGTAACAAGACTGTGACACTGGAACTTGTGCCACTTTGTGGACACATATAGTGAAAGACTGACTGGCTCACTTTTATTTAATATACCTCCAATTTTCTCTGAACTCATTCTTCTACCTTCTCTTGACATCATCTAATGAAGCAGAATTCTCCAAATCTAGAAATTGTATTGGGACCCTAATTCAATAGCTTTCTATCAATATTTTATGTGCTGACATCACAGAACTGTGGAGGAATTTAAATGAGATTGGAAAGTTGGTAGCCTCATTAGTATATTAAGTGGTTATAGTCTTCATTTTCCTCCCTCATCCAGACAGAGAGAAAGAGAGAGAGAGAGAGAGAGAGAGAGAGCGCGCGCGAGCGCGCGCGCGCGCGCCTGAGTCTCTTGATATGATCTTCCCAGATTTTCATTATTTGTTCCAACAGTTTCCTCCAAATTTCAAAAATTTTTATTTTGAAAGAATGAGAGAAATAAGACACAGGGGTATCAATTAATGAGAACAATGACAGTGAAGAAATACAATAATTTTACTACACACACACACACACACACACAGACACACACAAAACACCCCCACCCTTTTCCCCATCCCTGGCACAATAATAATAAAACCATCAAAGCGCATCTAACAAGGAGAAACACCGGTACGTAATGAAGAAAGCAAATTTTCATACTGCTGGATCCAACTAACCCATATCAAATGTCCTTCCTCCAGCTAAACTCCACCCACCGGAATGATGAAGTGTAGAGGAGACAACTTTGGGGGTAGCTTATATCTATGTTTATACTTGCAAAGTTCAGTGAAGATTCCATAAGAGTGGTAAATCTATTTGTCAGGGAAATGCTGGGTACAGCTCTTCAGTCAAATTTCAGATGATTTAAGAATATTTTAGATTCACAGTCTTCTAACAGGAATAATCATTGCTACCTCAATCACAACACTGGAGAAGCTGCCAAACCCTGGTTAGTTGCTGAGAATGGTGGAAGTGAGGCAGCTTTTGGCTTAAGAAAATTTAAAAAAACAAAACAAAACAAAACAGAAACAAGTTTACTTCTTCAGTTTCAAACTGGGTAAAGGAGCTTAGTAGGTTGGGGTTGGACAAAAGCAAGGTGAAATTTCCAATTTCATTACTTGAAGAATTAGATTATCTATTGACTGCATAGATTCCTTATTTTAATTAAACTCAATATGGAGCATTTAAAATTTAAACAACTGTTAAAAGTAGAGGCTAATTAATTTTACACACAAGTCACTGCCTAAAATTGAAGGAAATTTTTCTAAGTGGTAGGTTCACGTTTCCAGCTTAATTTATCAAGGGATTCCCCCATCCCATGGGAATTCATAGTTTGTTTTATATCAAAAGTGAGATTCTCTTTATAATGTTTATTTTATTGTCTTCACTAGACTCAGTCCATAAAGGGAAGGATACCTGTGCAGGGTTAGTTCAAGGTTAGAGCCTTCTCCTCCGCATGTGCATGCACACACACAGTAAATACATTTTCCCACACTCAGTCTCACAGTCACATGCTTCCTGGAGTCCATCTCACAAAAGTACTTCAATAGTTAGCCATATACATGTACATGCAGCAAGATGTGAGAATTGCCCCCAGAGTGATTAAAGGTGGTACACATATGTCTACGTGGGGAGGTCATTTCAAGGTATAGGCATACACAAGCCAACAGGGCCATTAACTTGTAGATTATATTTTTCCCTTTCTCCCAAGATAAATAAATCAAATGAAAAACATATCTTCCTGGGTGTCATGGAGGCAACTGCCTGGAAGGTTCACTTTTTACACTTCCAACTTCCTATGACAACTTCATTTTGCCCTGAGGGGCCTTCTCATATAAGGAAGGCTGCTCCTCAGCTTTCCCCGCATTTCCCACGTTTCCAAGGGGTGAGGGCTTCGTCTCAGAAGAGCGGTCTTCAGGCTTGCGGGCAATCAGCAGGCGGCAGGTGAGCAGGATTCCAAACACCAGGGCATGGGCATAGCGTTTGAGAGGATCACCGACTAGCTGGTGGAAGAAGAGCACAACCAACACCAGCAAGAGCAGGAAGAAGTTGGCTACATCTTTGGGACGTCCAGGCACAAGGGTCATGACAATGCCACAGGCCACCTCAAGAGCACCAATGCTTTTACGGAGGAGAATGGAATTGATCCCCATTTTCTTCAGCAGAGGAAGGGCTCGGACATAGGTCTTGTAAGCACGTTTCTGGAGTAGAATACCATAAGGAAATCACTGCATTAACTATGATTTTAACATTAGAATGAAGAAAACATTCCCTTTCCACACCAGCCAATGGTGTCCCATTTTTACTGTTCCCCTAAATAAAAGCCTTGTAATTAAGATAAAGAAAAAAAGCAAGCAATCTGCTGAGATCCCTGTGATTTAAACCTTAGTAACAGTATGGAAGGTAAGAGAATTTGACTTCATATTTTAAATTTTTTTCTGATTATCAGTCACAAACAACATTAAGAATTTAAAAGAAAATTCATCAGGCCCATAAAATGGGTACAGATTAGCCACATCCACATTTTCTAGTGCCTGCCTTGTCCAAACCTAAAGGCATAAGAATATCAACAAAAATGAAACAGGGCAAGGCACAGTATGCTAAAGCCTCACTAATTTGGGCTTCCCTAATTTGGAATCTGTGATTATTCAGAAACTTCAGCTGAGCTGGAGTTTATATTTGTGGAATTTGTAAAAAAAAAAAAAAGTGTGCTAAGCAAGTAGAAAATTAAAAATATATGTAAACATTAGCCCCTTTTGTATCTTTAAAATATAGTAGGACAGAAATCATTCTCATGGTCATTGAGATAAACCCCCAGGCCTTTATAAGATACTACTTTGATTTGCCTGGTTCAGGTTCATTAATTTTAATTCAACAAATATTTATCGAACACCTACTATAGATTATTTGATGGAAATATATGGATGAATACGACCAGGTCAAGGAGCTCTTGGTCTAGCCTAGGGAAACAGATACATAAATAGCATTATAAAGCAGCATGATAAGTGCTTTATAATAGAGGTCTGTACAGTGTCTAATTGTAGCCCAAAGGGAGACATTATAGGACAGAGGAGGGAGTCACAAGATATATTACAAAGTAATAGAATTATATGGACCTTAGAGTGATAGATAATCGTATTTTTCACTATTCAGAGTGGCCTGATCCTTATATTGTACTAAATTGATGGGATTTCATTAAGTGTCTTATTGGGTTGGCCCACTGCTTTGTTTTCATTAAGTATCCATTTGTCCATTCAATATTTATTGTCTCCTTATGTGAGGCACTGAACTAGGTACGTTGAATACAGATATCAGTTATTCAAAGGCCCTGTCTTCCTGAAGCTTGAGTTTATAAGGGGAAAACAGTTATGCAAATACATAAGTGCAATAAACTATTATGGGTGCTGAATAAAATTATGTAAGTGGGTACAGTGGAGGCACACCAGAGGAAATGGTCAAGTCTTCCTAGATGGAGACTGAGAAAAGCTAGAGTCGAATCTTCACAGAAGATTGGATGTTTGCAAGATCAATAAGGGAAGGTTATTGCAGGCAGGGAAATCTGGATGAGCAAAGACCTTTAAAAACAAATTAGATTGGTGTGTTGTGAATACTGCCCTAGTTCAGAACAGGTTGGGGAAGAATGCAGTGACATGAGACAGGGGTGATGGTTATAAATCAGATCACATATGTTGTGTTGTGGAGCTGGACTTTATCCCATAGTCCAGGGGAAGCAACATAATTTGCTTTTAAGGAAGCTCCCTTTGGAAATAATGTGGAGGATGGAAGCAAGGAAACCAAGTGAGAGACCTGGACTAGAGTAATGACAGTAAGAATACAGGGAGGGGAACGAAGTCAAGGATACTTTGAATGCAAAATTAACAGAATTTGATGTCTTATTGGATATGGACATTGAAGGAAAAAGAAGTCAAGAAAGATTATCTGGTTTCTGGCTTGTGTGCCTGAATAGAAGTTTGGGAATGCACACAGAGGAAATAGTTGAGGGTGGCAGAGGGAAGGAAGGAATTAGGAATTCAATTTGGGTTTTTTCTGTATTGAAGTATCTCTAAGACAACAAAATGGTGATGTTTGGTAGGCAGTCAGTAAGTGAGGTCTGGGATAAAAATATAGAATTGATAGTCATTGGCATGCCCATGTAGAATGTATACAGTGGGGAAAAAATGTGTGACAGACATTTAAGGAATGGAGAGAGGAAGAGTGTCCACAAAGTAGAAGAAAGTGTAGTCAGAAAAGTATGAGGAAAACTGGTAGAGATCGGGACATGGGGGCCAAGAGAGGTTTTAAGAAGAGATCAGTCAGATAAATATCCAGAAGTTGAACTGTTGGGTCATAGGGTAGTTCTATTTTTAATTTTTTAGCAACCTCCATAATACCAGCTTCCATAGTGACTGAATCAATTTACAATCCTGCCAACAGTGCAGAAGGGTTCTTTTTCTTCACATCCTCACTAACAAAATTAAAACACTAATTTGAAAAGATATATGCACCCCTATGTTCATTTACAATAGCTAAGATATTGAAGCAACCTACATGTCCATTGATATATCAATGGATAAAGATGATTCTCATTCTCTCTCTCTCTCTCTCTCTCTCTCTCTCTCCCTCACTCCCCAATATAAAAGAATGAAATCTTGCCATTTGAAATAACATGGATGAACCTAGAGGGTATTATACTAAGTGAAATAAGTCAGACAGAGAAAGACAAATTCCATGTGATTTCACTTATATGTGGAATAGAAACAGACTCATAAATATGGAGAACAAACTGATGGCTGCCAGAGGGGAGGTGGTGGGAGGATGAATGAAAAAGGTGAAGGGGAATAAGAGGTACAAAATTCCAGTTAAAAAATAAATAAGCCATGGAATATAGTGTGTAAAATAAAGCATATAGTCAGTAATATTGTTAATAACTTTGTACAGTGAGAGATGGTTACTAGATTTACCACGGTGATCACATTGTAAGGTATATAAATGAAGAATCGCTACATTGTGCACCTGAAACTAATGTAATAGTGCATGCCAACTATACTTTAATGAGTTTTCAAAATTAAAATAGAAAAAAAGAAGAAGAGTCAAAAGTGCCAGATGCAAGATAAGTATTATGAGAATTGGACAGAAAGCCAAATTGACCTCTCAGAAGTATCTGGCACTTAGAATAATGTTCACACTCTCTAAGTTTGAAACAAATGTTAAGTAATTTTCCTCATTTCTGGACAAGTGAAAGCACCCTTATTTCATGGGTTAATTAACATGAGTGGCACAAGATAATCTATGAGGACTGTTAAAAGACTGATAGGTTAGCCCTGGCTGGTGTGGCTCAGATGGTTGGAGCATCATCCCGTAACCAAAAAGTTGTGGGTTTGGTTCCTGGTCAAGGCACATAACTAGGTTCCGGGCTTGATCTGGTCCAGATCCCCAGTCCGGGCATGTGCGATCCCCGGTCCAGGTGCGTATGGGAGGCAACCAATCGATGCTTCTCTCTGGCATCGATGGTTCTCTCTCTCCCTTCCTCGCTCTCTAAAAGCAATGAAAAAAGATGGTTTAGCCCTAGCCGGGTGGCTCAGTTAGTTGGAGCATCTTCCCACACACCAAAAAAGGTTGCCGGTTCTATCCCTGGTAAGGGTACATACCTAAGTTGTGGATTGGATCCCCAATCAGGGTGCATACAGGAGGCAACTGATTGATGTTTCTCACATTGTTGTTTCTCTCTCTCCCCCCCTCCCTTCCTCTCTCTCTAAAATCAATAAACATATCCTTATGTGAGGATTTTTTTTTAAAAGAAAGACTTATGGTTTAGTGAAAAGAGCATGTGTTGGATTCAAACAGACTTGAGTTCAAATCCCATCTCTGCCCCTTTCTAGTTGAGTATCCATAGGCAAATTATTTGACCTCTCTGAGCTTCATTTTCCTTAGCAGGGCTGTGACTAAGGTGAAGTAGATAAGGCTATTTGCCTTGAGCACAAAATTTAAAACAGTACCAAAAATACTCATTGATCTAGATAAATAATATTCATGACAAAAAAAATGTCAATTTTTTAAGTAAAGGTAGGATCCAACTCTGCACTTGCACCCTGCCTCACTCACCTCTTCTTAATTATATTCCAGTCAGATTCTGTCTTTATTTAAAATTTCACTTTACCCTACTCCCTTCCCTGTTCCTGAGCACATAAGGAAATACAAAATGTTAGTCATTTTTCCTTCCTCTTTCCATCTTAGTTTAAATCAGGGATTTTCAGAGAGAAATTAGGAGAGAGGTTGACCAGTATGTAGAGTAACACCCTGGGCTGAACTGAGCCAGACCCATGTGGAATGGAGCAGAGAAGAGCTGAGAGTTAGGTCACCTGGTAAAAGGGAGAAGCCTGCCCATTTTCCATCACTATTAATCCAGATGCAACCTGCCCAATCTCTCCCCCTCTACATTCTGGTGACAGTAGCAGGGGGACATTAGTGAAAGAAATCTAGACCTAAGAGGCTTATTTAACACTCTTAAGTAAGGACCATGTCTAATTAGTAGCACAAAGCTCCCCAAGAAGCAATTCCTAAATCCTAGGTGTAAGCTTTTGATATGATGAACACAGGAGGGAAGAAGAATTTCTTACTGTCTTTTTAGAACCAAGCCTTCTGGATGCTGGCTTAGTGGCTTCTGGAAAGCACTCCTTTTTTGGTTAAGGCTAACCACACATTATTCAAGAACAGATTCTAATCTACACTACAGTCAAATCTGTAGCTTGAGGCCAAATTCTGGGCCTTTAAATCAAGGTCCTATAACTTCAGTGGACTTTTCCTCTCTATTTGGTGTTACTCCATATTACTTTTTCAGTTGTTTTACTGAATTACTTGTTCAGTTACCTAACCTCTTAAACTGCAGCTGTGGATATTCTTGTGCATCTAGCTGTTGCCTCTTTCCTCCTTTTCTCAAGAAGAAACTGCATGTGGGTAAGCCATGTCATCAAATCTTTAGTTCAAAGCTGAGTACATACAAATAGCATCTGTTCTCCAGGACTCTAGGCAGGGAATGTTGAAGTTGTTGATATAGAACTAAGCTTAGATGGGGTTTTGACATCATAAAAAGCCCTTTATTCTTTCTCCTGTGGAGTAGGATGGAGACAACAAAAGATTGCCAGTTTCATCAATGCTTAGTCTGAGCCACCTCATTTCTAACAATAGAAGGGCCACATGTAAC